TTCTCCTGCTGTTCTTTGAAATAGTGCAATGGGATCATTCACATCCATCAGAACAGCCAGACAGACTTTTGATTTAATATGTCATTCAAAGAGCAACACAACTAACTGGTACTGCACTGCAATAGGTTTTTAGATCAAATCTAAGCATATGACTTAAGTTGCTGAGCTAACCATTTCTGCTTGTGCTGGTTTGTGGAGGGATTGAGTACGCCACTGAATTCTTGATGGCAGCACCTGTCTGGAACTAAAAGGTTTTGTCAAGGTGCATGGTTAAGCAATAACCAATATCCAGTGGGAGGATAATCTTCCCATTCAGCTCCTGTTACCCCTGAGAGCCAAAGCCCTAAAGGGTAGGGTGGTCCTAGCTGGACAAGCAGTGGGAAATTTTGTCAGTCAGCGATATCAATAGCAAGCTATTTGCTTTTAGTTGGTTAGACTCTAGCAGTACCCCACCACACACTCTGGGGTCCCCAAGCCTTGGCACTTGCCAACCTGCGCCTGACATTCTACACCTTTTGGAATTAGGTAAGCAGGACATGTTCGTTCCTCAGGGAGAGAGTGCACATTCCATTCTAAACATGAGAATTTCCATTGCATATGTAGTATTCTCAGTTTTGTTTGGATACTTTAAAGCATGGTGATGTGTTTCTGTATGTGTTGAACTCCTGGTTGAACAAAAAAAATCTTTCCCTTCACATAGAAGATAATTAATGACTGGAACATGTTACCAGGTCACTGGACTCAATTAAGAAACAGCTTGATGCTGTGATGGGAGATTGGTAGGGTGGGTGTTCTGGAAGGATGAGATCAAAATGGGCTGAAGGGCCTTCATCCAAACCAAGACATCCAAATCTCTCTTGTGCCCTTGTCGTGTCCGCCCTTACTGTGGTTGTCCATTTGACCTATTGCTCTTCTCCCAAAATTTCTATATATCTGCGTATGTTTGATTTTGCACAGCAGACTCAATGGCGCTGAGTGAGTGCACTGGGCAGTGTGTAATGTTTCGTTATTCCCATGGATATCTTTCAAGATTAACATTGTTATCCCTCGAATATTCCCGACACAGTGAAGCCTGCCTCCTTATCCACTTGCTGTGCCTCCAAAAAATCCTGGCGCAAATTCTCATAAACAATAACTTGTTTATGTCCAGAGGTTACTGTCACTGGCAAGTTATGCAGAGATTTTAACAATGACTTCTGTGTCCATTGCTGACATTCCAAGGCTCAGCGCACTGAGAGTGAGAGAGATGAAAGGAGCTTCAATAAGTTTGGCTCATGAAGTGGTGGTTTGTTTTCAACAGTCAGCCCCCATTATTACAATTCCCCCATTGGCACTCAGCACGGTCAAAAACAGCTAAGCCCCACATACACATTCTGCTGAGCAGTTGTAGAAGATATCCCAACAGTCAAAAGAATTCATTTAGACTGTTTATAATAATAATCCTTGGATTTAATCTAGTGCCTTATCATATCATTGAAATGTCTTAAAGCGCTTCACAGAATATATTGTATATTGACAGTGTATTTGGGGGTGAAACGCGTCAGCCAGTTGTGCCCAGCAGTGCCCCACAAACAATTGTGGATTGAGTGACCAGAAGCTTTTTAGGCATTATTACCCCGGAAAGAGATCCGCCAATCCACTAACAACCAGATTCCTACCTACTGCTAGATAAACAGGCGTGGCGTGTGGAGTAAGGAAACCTGCCTAAGGTTTCACCCTGCCTGGGAATCAAACCTGGGTCCTCTCGCTTGCGAGGCAAGTGTTCTAACCACTATGCTATGGTACCCCATGTGCATAAAATGACAGTGCAGCTTTGTGTTTTCAATGTTGCACAGTGTCAGGGCGCGTTATTTAAACCATGCGTTTGCATTTAATGGTTGTTTGTAGTGATATAGAAGCTGACAATAAAACAAAATCACAAACTGTGTGAAGTGCGGGGGTGCTTATGCAGTCAGAAAAGTCTTGGTCAGCCTGCCAAGGCAGCACTAGATTTGCAAGTGAGTACATGTAAGGCGCTTCAAGATGCTTTGATGGGATAAGGTGATACAATCATTAATATTGTTATTCCTCCACTGTGTTCCCAACAAGCGAAAACTTCCTCTCATTATGTGGTTTTAGCTGGTTAGACTCAAGAAATACCCCAACACACACTCTGGGTCCCCAAGTCTTGGCTCTTGCCAACTTGCGCCTAATACTACGTTCCATTATTAGGTAAGCGGGATGTGTCCCTCCAGGGAGAGAGTGCGCATTCCATTCCAACAATCTATCTCTGGGATTTCCAAGTGTAGGTGGAATGCAAGGAATTCTCAGTTTGGTTTGGATACTCTTAAGCATGGTGATGGGTTTCCCAACTGACTAATAAAGAGCCTTCCTCTCGTTCCCAACACAGTGAAGCCTTCCTACTTGCCGAGTCTCCAAAACCCTTGGCGCAAATTCTCAAACTATAACTTGTTCATGTCCAGAGGTTAGTGTCATTGGCAAGCTATGCAAAGATTTTTTTTCCGTTCAGGAAAAGGTAAAAGGAACTTTATTTATGAGAGCAGTTGTAGGTGGATACAAAACTTACCTTTGAACTTGTAGTTGTGTAAAATTGAAATCTTTTCGGTTTACATCAAATGCATTGACGTATCATTGCCATCTTGAGTGTTGAAGAACGATGCCTGAGGAACATTACACCATTATCTTGGAAGTTTCATTACCGGCAGAAATATTCCGAATGCCATTGTGGAGTATGCAACCACATTCCTGTAGCACAAAGTGAATTTTTTTTCATTGTTTTCAAGTTAGCTGTTGCAATAACAGGCGCCTGTAGCCAGGACAGATGTCTCACTACACTGTGCATGGTGGTTCCTAATAGTGCAGAATCATTATGGTGGCATACCTATGGGAAAGGGGTTTCCATAGTTTATCGCATGCCTCAGCAGGCAGAGGTTTATATGAAGAATAGAAAAAGAGAAGTCAAAGATAATGGCTTTAGATTGTAAAAAAACAATTTTCAGTGGGCTGGATGGAGACTTCGACAATATGAATTTGCTGGAGAGGTTTGGCAGATAAAAGAGCAGACCGGGGCAGAGATACATTTAACTTTGGATGGTTAGATACAAGTTCAACACACAGCGAAGAGGAGTAAAGTGAGTGTAACAAATGTTCCATAGTTAAACATGGAGATTAGAAACTCAGATTGAATAAAATAACAGACACTGTCCATAGATCGGGTAATACAGGAATATAATACAGGAGGAAGTGATAAAAAATATGAAAGTTTAGATGGCAAGAGACAGAGCAATTGGCTTAAAGGAAGTATGAAAAGTAAAGACAAAATTAAGTGTAACAGCAAAGGCTTTTAGAAGCATATCAATTCATAACAGGGCTTGGTAATGTTGATGGGGTTCGGTGATGTGAACTGGGCTTTGGTGCCTCAGAAACACTGACCAGAGGCCACACTGTAATGCAGGGCGTTTTCACACAGTCTCATTTTATGGACCCGAGCAACTGCATTGTAACATTGTCTGACTGTCCGTGCCTAATGAGGACAGGCGGGATTCAGTGGAGCCATCTGCAGTGCTGTGATTTATTACTGACTCCTTTGTGGACCAGAGTAAATCTAATAGAGACATTAAGATGCTGCTGTTTATAACCAGCACAGACAGGGAGGTTGAAAATATATAAATCAATCTCAGTCACAAAATGTAATTTGCTGATACATTTACAGAAGCTGCACATTATTTGTCTCCTTGTGTTGAAAATGATCTATGGTCATTTGACATCTCATCCTGTGTCTGAGAGCCAGACCAGGGGACCTGAGCTCCCGTCAATTGGCTGTGTTGGTTGTCTGCTGGGTCAACATGGGAATGGAACTCAGGGGGAGGCGATGGACCCAGTTTACTCAGTACAATAACTCAGATTTACGTGACACCTTTCATATAGAGCAGGGTGGTCCAAGTGGTGGTCCCTGGGCCACATCCGGCCCGTGGATGATTTCATCCGACCCGCGAACACAGTCACACTGTGTGTCTGGAGCCCAGGCTTTGGTTTATGTGGCACGAGGCGGTGATCAGCAGCAAAATCTGTCAATCACTTTCAAACCGGTAACAGGAGGGAAACAGAGAGAGAGATACAGAGACCCAGAGAGAGAGAGACAGATAGACAGACAGACAGACAGACTGATACAGAGACACTTAGAGACAGAGAGAGACAGATATAGAAGCATAGAGAGAGAAAAGAGATAGATACAAAGACAGAGAAAGACAGACAGACAGATACACTTACACAGAGAGATAGATACAGAATCATAGAGAGAGAAAAGAGAGACAGATACAAAGACAAAGATCGAGAGACATACAGATACAGCGATACACACAGATACAGAAAGACAGAGGAAAGTGAGAGATATAGACAGAGACACACACAGATAGCGAGAGAGATAGATACAGAGAGAGAGAGAGAGACATATACAGAGGCACATGCAGACAGAGAAAGAGACACACACATAGATACAAAGAGAGACACAGAGATAGATATCTCATCACTGGATGTATTATTGTTTTAAAATGTGTATGAATTTTTAAATTGCCTATTTAAAGTTTGCACAGTAACTAAAATATAGTGAAATTAAGTAAAACAGTGATGGGTAGGCCATCACTTAGTTCCATGCGGGTAAGAATACCTCACTAGTAAACAGATAAGGGTTCTTATTCACTGAGCATAGAAACAGTAATAGAAACATAGCAACTAAAACTTACACGGATGCCCATCAAGCCTAAACTGGTAAGTGACGCTGCTCTCCATTGATGAGTTGAACCCGTATCTCCCTGTGTGGGGATTCAACCTGTTACGCTGACCAGGGCTCAAGTCAGACAATCACACTCTCTCTAGAGTGGGGGAATTCTAGAGTTGAAGGGTGAGGGGTGGCGGGGAGGGGAAGGTGTTGATGTTCTGGGGGAATGTGCAGATATGGGTCCTTGTGTTCTGCGATCTAACCGATACTCTTGCTCTCACAGATGTCATGGCGCCCACAATATCGCAGTTCAAAGTTCCGGCACGTGTACGGTAAACCCGCCAGCAAGGAGAACTGCTACGATGGCATCTCCATCACCAAAAGTGTCCACGACAACTTATTCTGTGCTGTCAATCCAAGGTTCATTGCCGTGGTGACTGAGTGCGCAGGAGGAGGAGCCTTCTTCGTCATCCCCATCGGCCTGGTATGAACTTTAATCCTCTGACTAATCACTGAGTGTTTCAGTTCCTATCGTCTGGTCAGTAAACTGTCCTCTGATCAACGCTGTTTTCTCCACTGTATTGACCAGGTACCTTACGCTCTGACCTAGAAATACAACAACAGAGTAGTGCATTCAGCACCTCGAGCCTGCTGTTAATATATTAATGAAATTTCCGTTTGATACATCAGCAAAGTACTTTACAGTAATAGCTGTAAAGTTTAGCAACTGTGTATTCTGTAAGCAAACATGGCAGCCAATTTGCACTCAGTAATGTTTGACAAACAGCCATAGAGTGAATGAGCATTTTTTTATAGGAGATTGTCTCCAGGACACCAAGAGAAAATCTCTTTTCTTTTCAAATAGTACCTTGGGATCCTTAACACCCACATGAACAGGCAAAGATCAGGATCTTGGTTTAACATTTACCCGATGGATGGTAGCTCTAACAATGCAGTGTCCCCCCAGCACTGTTGGGAGTGTCAACAACAACAACTTTCCTTTACATGGCATCCTTCATGCGCACAGTGTTTTGGAGCACAGTGACTGTGCACTCTGCATTCTCACAGCCCTCTTCTGTGTGAAGAAATGTTTTCTCAATCACAAATGGCTGCAAAAACAACTTGTGAGTTTACTGATGACCTGAATAATTCTTGCATTTGATGCAGTGTCCTATCATATTCTCCAGGCTTCGCAAACCGTTTAACAGGATTTTACTGCAAAGTATTGCATTGAGATCCCAGCAGAGTGAGAGCAACAAAAACAACAATGGGTTGTATAGGGCACTATACAAGTGTAACTTGTTGTTATTGTTGTAGTAGTTGGATTTATATGAAGCCCTTCACACGGGGCAGTGTCTCAGAGTGCTTAACAATGGTGGAATCTGATGCTGAGCCTGGGGAGGGGAGGAGGTGATCGAAAATGACGGTTGAAAAGGGAGAACACTAAGAACTGCAGGGCCAGCAAATAGTATGTTGACTATTCTTGATGAGAGGGGTCTTGTACTCTGCAGTGTTGATCTTCGAGGGCCTTTTTTGGACCCTCATTTCGCAGCAGCAGATTGATCCATATAATTCACAATCATATCTGCAAGCTAGAGCATTAGAGTAGCACTGCCATAACAAGTTGCTGCAGTCCTCCTCTTGTCTGAACCCCTTCAGACTTGCAGCCAAGCGCTGCTAGTTAATCAGATATCTCGTGGCTTGCGCACAACTTGTGTGGCAATCTCTGCTAATGGGTTTGGAGACCACAGTTATTATATTAAGTTATATTAAAATGAAGTAAAGTGGCCCGTCCCAGGGTCCTAGGGCACTTATATTTAAATGCTATGCATTGTGTTGCTAAATTCCAGAATTGTGAATTTACGGCATTAGTTGGAAAGAGAAGGGAGTTTCTCCCTGTTGTCTTTGTCAATCCCTCAAATAAAAGTAATCATTCACTTCATGGTTGTTTGTGGGACGCTGCTGTCTGCAAAATGTCTGCCTTGTTTACATACAAAACACCTAGTCACTGTACTTCACAGTAAATCGTGTGAAATGACGCTTTATCAAATGCAAGGATTATTGAGTATCGTCATTCTTTCTGGTCCAGGACTAAATAATGCCTTTTATATGATACATTTGGAGGTCTGTTTCTCTCAGTACCAAACAATCTAAATTCAGAGGCGAGTGGAGGCTTTTGAAGTAAGGAAACTTGCCTACGATTTTGCCCCACCTGGGAATGGCAAGCATTCTAACCAATATGCCACAGGACTCCACAATAATATTCCATAGTAATAATCCTTGCATTTGATATAGCGCCTTATCACCTCTTTGAGACATCTCAAAGCGCTTCACAGAATATACTGCAAAATGGATTGACTGTATTTTGTGGGTGCAACAATGATTGTCTATAGACATTAAAAATGCACATGAAGGAGCAATATATACATTAGATTTGAAATTATTTGATCAATTTAGGGGGGGGGGGAATAAAATGAAAGCTACCGATTCTGACACCTACATTCTTGGGCAGACCCTGATTTTGTGTCTGTTGCCTATAATCATTGCTGCTGCACCTTCATTCCATTCTGTGCAGTCATAGAGTGAGTTACTTGATGCTCAACTCTTAAACTCAGTCCACGTTGAGAAGGACAGGGTGTTTTACTTTTCATTTCCAAGAACTTGAATTTTCCAAGTAGGAAAATTGTAGCAAAATAGCCTTAAATGGCCTTATAATGTGAAAACAGGCCATTCAGCCCAACTAGAGAGGCAATGTTTTTACCTTCACCCCTCTTAATCCCCTCTCCCATTCCTCTATTCCCTTCTCACGCATGCATTACGTTTCCTCTTAAATACATTAATGCTTTCTGCTTCATCCACAGCTTCCACAGTCTCACATACCTCTGAGTTCCTACTAAACTTCCTTTTAGATCTGTTACTGGCTATCTTATATTCATGCCCTCTATTTAAAATGAGATGGACTTTGCTTTACAGATTCTTGAGATTAATGGGTTTCATTTTATGATGATAACAAAATCAAAGGGAAAGTTACAAAAACACCTTTACATGGGAGGATGGTGGGGGCTTGGGGGCGCGGAGAGCAGAATATGCTGGTCTCTGCCACAAACGGCTGACGAGGCAGAGCCCATGAATTCTTTAAAAGAAGATTGCAATCAGACTCCGTTATTCCGTGCTTTAGTGTAGCGGTGGTCAGTTTATACAGTGGATGCACTGTACACTAGCGTTATAGCAGCCTGTGCATTTCCCGCTTCCGATGCCCTAGCGTCTGGCTCTCTCCTCCTCCTCCTGTTTACCTAGCAGTAAGTAGGAACCCGGTTGTTAATTGATTTGAGGATTGCTTTCTGGGGGTTATAAACCCTCCAAAAAAAAAGATCAACGCCTAGTTTCACCCACAAAATACAAATTCACTCCACTTTACAGTATGTTCTGTGAAGCGCATTGAAATGTCTCAACGATGTGATAAGGCGCTATAATCAAATACAAGGATTATTATTACATACAAACTCATCTGTAATACGGAGTGATAGAACTGTTCAGTGTAGTTCTATCACTCTGTATTACAGATGAGGTTGAATGTAATAATAATATTGTTATTAATTCCTATTAATAATTATTGTTATTAATTATAATAACAATAATAATATTATTGTGATTAACTCCTACTTGTAAACACGTAGATCCAACAGTTGCTTGGTCCTCTACGAATCCTTGCTTTCGTTCCTGGAATAAAAACTGTAAAGTCGAGTCTTCTAAAGTCCTTTTCGAACCTCTGACTCGATCTGGCCCGCTCGATTGATGGAATGTAACTTTTCTGGTCCGGCTGCCAGATGGAATGGGATAATGTTCTAGGTTTAAAGAGGAGCCTGTGGTAGACAGAGCTTGTGCACATCAGCATGTTCACACAGTGGCAGGTGCTGTAGTGCTCTTGGTGCAAATCGTGTTGTGTTTTCCTGGTCGGTGTTCATCTGAAACCGTTTTGAAGAAGAAAAACAACAACAAATAGCATTTATGTAGTGCCTTTCACGTCGGGAGGACGTCCCAATATGCTGGACAGTGAAGGATTTGCATCCGAGCTAGGGGTTGGACTTGAGAGGTGTGGAGAGCAAGGGGGTGGAGGTGGATGGATGACAAAAGGCATGGTCAAAGAGAAAGGTCTTGAGACGAGCCTTGAAGGAGGCAAGGGAGGGGGCAAGGTGTAGAGTTTCTGAGATGGATTTCCAGAGGGTGGGGGCAGAGAGGCTGAAAACCTGACCACCGATGGAAAGAAAGACTTCAAGCTGTAAAAATATTGGAGAACAGAGGGGTGGAACCTTGTGCAGAGCATAAACCCTGATATGGACTAACCAGTCAAAAGGCCTGTTTCTGTGACGTATCATTCCATGTAATTCCATGTTATAATCCTTGTATTTAATAAGGCGCCTTTCACATCAGGAGGACGTTTCCAACTGCTTTACAGGATTTACTATAAAGCGTAGTAACTGTTTACTTGTAGGTAGATGTGGCAGCCCATTTACACAGCAGTGTCTCACAAACATCCATGAAGTGGGGGACCAGTTTTATGTGGGGGATTGTTGGCTGGGACACCAGGAGAAACTCTTTTTTCTTTTCAATTCATGGGTTCTTTAACGTCCACCCGATCAGGCAGGTGGGACCTCGGTTTAATGTCTCATCCAAAGGATGGCAGCTCCAACAGTGTAACACCCGACTCCCAGTACTGCATTGGAGTTTCATTTCAGAGTGGGAACTCTGTGTTGAAGTGTGGCTTGAACCCATGATCATCAGGGCCAAGCTGAGAATCAAATGAACTATACGATTACAATATAATTTATATTTATACGGTGCCTTTCACAACAAGAGGACGCCTCAAATCACTTGATGGGGTGGGGAGGGGAAAGATGACTGAAAACGTGGCAAATGAAATAAGTTTTGAACATTGTTAACAATTCCGAAAGACTGACTGTTCAGCGCCTTGGGACGTCCTCTCGATGTGAAAGGCGCTATACAAATGTAATTTTGTTGTTGTTGTTGTGGTTTTCAAGCATGCCTTGAATGAGGGGAGGGAGGGAGTCAGAGGAACTCTGGGATGGAGAGCGGGTGGGTGGGGGGGGTGCTCAGAGTAGCTAAATGGTGGGGTGGATAGGGCTGGGGACATGAAGCAAGCTGGAGTTCGCTGAGCTATGAATGTGTGGGTGAAGTGTTGGCGGTGTAGTGCAGTAGGTCTCTGTAGGGGCCCAGTGTGTGATTGCTGCACACCTTTGTTTGTCTCCTGTGACAAGTACAATGGGCACGAATTGTATGCCACAGGTAAAGGTGCGGGACACCGCTGACCCCTCAGTCCAGAGTTGGTGCTGCAGGAGACACTGCGCTTAAGGTAGAAAAGCACATGTTGGGCGCAGTCCTCCCAACAGAACGGACTCCCTGAAGTGAAACACTCACCTATGACTCCCTTTTGATCCTCATTTGCAGCTACCCGAGTACAGAAACCTGCAGCGTGCCATTACTTACCTTCTGCCAACCGGAAAGAAACATCATTTCAGCCCGACCTTCTGCTTTCTATGTGGCAACCACCTTTCTATCCAAACCAACAAAATTGGCCACGACTGTTTGTGGAACACCGCTCTGTGCAATTGGCTGCTGCGTTTCGCCCACAAAATATACAGTCAATTCACTTTATGGTATATTCTGTGAAGCGCTTTGAGACGTCTCAACGACGTGATAAGGCTCTATATCAAATTGCAAGAATTATTATTATTATATTGATGTCCTTCGCTTCAACGTTTATTACAGATTTAGATGACCTGTGATTTGGTTTAGTTTGACAAAAGGAAGGAGGCTACTGCCACCAAGAGGATTTTTGCGGTGTGGGAAAAAAAGTTTTTTTGTATAAAAAAGTTTCAAAGAGCTCATTAGCATCACTTGTTTTGAACTGTGTGGATAACAGTATTTGTGGTGGATTTCTTCTGACATTGATTTAGAGTATGTCCTTTGCTGGTCTCAGTGATTCCCTTCTCACACAACTCCTCAGCTCTCTCATACAGATCACTGCTTTCATTTACATCCTTTGGATGAAAAGTGACACCACTTCACAGTATATCCTGTGAAGCACTTTGAGGTGTCTTGACGAGATATGGCATGATATCAAATGCAAGGATTATTATTATTGTACATTCAGTTGGTAAGAATAAGAATTAAATCTTTGAAGCACAGAACCATTATCTGCATCTTGCTTCCGAATGAAGAAAAGAATTTCAGATGAGATCAGTCAAGCCAGTGATTGCATTGGCAGAGCAGGTACCTGTGCAGCAGTTTCAAATAGTGGGCTCAAAATCGCCTTACTGAATTCCTTTATAAGAAATCACATTTACCAGAGCAACACTGCTGTCAGAGCAGATATGCCTCTAGTTTGTATACAATCTGTTACCTGTTTGCAGTACTCACATTTCTTAGAAAGGAATCACAAAAATAGCACAAATTCCGGTGGATACTAGATCTTGATCTTGATCCAGTATTTCAAGATAAATATTCAATCCACTTGGGGGACAATTTGTGACTTTGCTGTAAAGCTCGCTGGAGCTTGACACTCTGCTCTGCCTGGTTATTTTGTGGGATTTTGGCTGGGAAAGGTTTTAACCCAGATAATGTTTCTATTGCAAGACAGGAAAACTTGACCCGTTGTATCCGAAGGTTTGTGGTCACCGAGGGAATGTGCTGGATGTCAAGTGGAACCCGTTTGATGACTGGATAGTGGCTTCTTGTTCTGAGGATTGCACGGTGAGTCTTTGGCTTCCATGTTCCCATGTGCTTCCCTGGGTAGAAGGGCATCTGCCTAATGCAAGACTTAACTGTGTTACAGTACATATTACTAGGCAGCAACTGTTTAATTCCCAGGGTCTGGTGTGTGAATTGGTTAACCGTGTGGAAAAGTGTGTGTTTCATACACCCAGTGGAAATCTGTATGTGTTATATACACTGTGTGTGTGTGTCATACATTGTATAGATATGTGGTATATACTCTGTGTTGTGTGTGTTATACATTGTGTGGAGATCTGTGTATGATATATACTGTGTGTATGTGTTATACTATGAGTGTGATATATACTGTGTGTGTGTTATATATTGTATGTGTGTGTATTATATAGTGTGTGTGTGTGTGTGTTATAAACTGTGTGTGAGTGTTAGATACTGTGTGTGTGTTATATGCTGTGTGTGTGATATATACTGTGTGTATTGTATACCGTGTATATTATACAATGTGTGTGATATAACCTCTGTGCATCTGTGTGTATTATATACTATAATGTAATAATAATGATCCTTGCATTTGATATAGCGCTTTTCACGTCTTCTAGACGTCTCAAAGCACTTCACAGAATATGCTGTGAAGTGAATTGATTGTATATTTGTGGATGAAACGCGGCAGCCAATTGGACACAGCAGTGTCCCACAAACAGTCGTGGATTGAAAATGACCAATTTATTATTGTTTTTGGTTTTTTGGAGGGATTATTATTAGGGGTGTGGAGTAAGGAAACTTGCCCAAGGTTTCGCCCTCTGCCTGGAATTGAACCCAGGTGTCTCGCTTGCAAGGCGAGTGCTCTAACCACTGAGCTACAGGACTCCAGTGTATATAATATACTGTGTGTATTATATACTGGGTGTGTACTGTATATTGTGTGTGATATATACTGTGTGTATGTGTGTATTATATACTGGGTGTGTATTATAATAATAACAATAATAATAATCCTTGCATGTGAAATACTGGATATATTTGTGTGTGTTATACTCTGTGTGCACAGAGGGAAATACAGATGCCTCAGTTTTATCACAAAGAAACAATTATTAATTATGAAACTGAAAATCAATTCTTTCCCATCACATGGCCCATAATAAGTAGACTGTGTATACTCAATCTGCCTTTCACTAAAATCAATGCTAACCCTAGCACAGCTCACTGACAACCTTTAGTACAAAACATATCTTAGATTTAAATCAACAAACTAGAACATAAGACAACATGAACAGACCATTCAGCCTACTGGCTGCCGGATTTTCCTACAAAATACACAGTCGAGCTACTTTATAATATAATCTGTGAAGCGCTTTGAAATGTCTTGACGGTGTGATAAGGCGCTATATCAAACGCAAGGATTATTATTATAATTATTATCAACCTCCCTCTTAAAGGACCATCTACGTAGATGCCACTCACAACACGCACGGATTTTCCTTCAGGTTATTTGGATTCCAGATTGAGGATTTCCGAGATGGATTTACACAGGATTAGAATAAATCTGAGACTTGATTAATTTTTTTTGAGGGGGAAAAAACAATTTCTAGACCGAGGAGAGCCTGACTAGTTTAATCTGGTTGATTTATCCACATAATCTCATGGATTATACCAGTAAATTAATCTTGACACTCACAGGGTGCTTTTTAATGTGCAGTAATATTTTAATCCATTAAAAACATGTACCTTCTGAAATAATTGCAAAGTATAGCTTTGAAATACGCAAAGACCTTTAGGGTGGAATATCCCACTGGACTGGAGATCGCAGGGTTGAGTTTTGGGAGAAATTCCCGTTACGCCCTGATCATTCAAACCACGGTAAACTGATAGGATAGAATCTCCTTCGCAGGCTCTAATCCCACTTCTTAATGTTGTCAGCTCAATCCTACAGAGAGACCGCGCTTCAGACTTCCAGCTCTGTGTCGCCTTGAATTGGAGCTGACCAAACACTGGGATTCTAGGCTGTTGTTTTTTAAGATTATAAAGAGCAGTTTGGCTCTTTCACTAAAACAGTGGGTTCAGAGTCCCCAGAGCTATTCAGCTTTGAGTGGAGCCTCGGGCAGTGAACAAACCCAATTGTGATGGTCTCCACAAGCTGATAAATAGCACTGTTTGACTCCATATAAAAACAACATGCATTATACAGTGCCCTTCACATAGGCTAACATCCACGAGCCCTGTAAACACTGTTGTTGGGGTCTGTAAAACAAGCCCCTGATTATAATGCAGTGCAGGTCATTGTCCCCATACCTGACTGAGCCTCACTCAGGGGCCAGCACACTGGCTCGGGAGGCTGGTCAGTGGCCCACAACTCAGGAACAACAACAACCAAATGACATTTGTATAGCGCCTTTCACGTCGGGAGGACGTCCCAAGGCGCTGGACAGACAGTGCTTCAGACTCGAGCTGGGGGTCAGGATTGGTGAAGGTGGAGGGTAGGGGGGAAAGCAGGGTGATCGAAGGCACTGTCGAAGAGGAGGGACTTGAGACAGGTCTTGAAAGAGGCAAGGGAGGGGGCAGGTGGAGGGACTGTAGGATGGAGTTCCAGAGGCTGGGGGCAGAGTAGCTGAAGGCTCACCCGCCAATGGTGGATCGCAGAGCAGAGCATAGTGCAGAGGACACGGGCTGCAGAATTTCGGATTATCTGCAGCCTATGGAGGGAGTTGTTGGGGAGGCCGACAAGCAGGACATTTGCATTGTCAAGCCTGAATGTTATGAATGCGTGCATGTGAGTCTCGGTAGCCTGCAGTGAGAGACAATGGCGGAACCGAGCGATATTGCAGAGGTGGAGAAAGGTGGAGCTGTCATGACATGGACGTGGGGTATGAAGGATAGGTGAGTGTCGAACAGGACACAGAGGTTCTGTATTTGCTCCATGAGATGTAGAGTGCATTTATGGAAGAAGATGGTGTCAGCGCCCAAGGTATGGTGGCGCTGATGGGAGCCAAGCAGGAGGGCCTTGGTCTTGTTGACATTCAGCTGCAGTTTGCTCTCATCCAGGGCTTGATGTCCGGCAGGCAGTCTGTGAGAACGGCAATGGTCCTGGAGTCAAGGGTGGAGGCAGAGAGGTAGAGTTGGGTGTCATCCGCCTACATGTGGAAGTTGACCCCATGTCTGCAGATGATGTCACGAAGGGGGAGCATATAGATATTGAAAAGGAGAGACCCAAGGAGTAGAGGAGAAGCTGTTACTGGCAACAAAGTGGAGGCGGTGTGAGAGGTAGGATTCGAACCAGGCAAGAGCAAGTCCGTGAAGGTTGAGCTGAGAGGAGAGGCACTGTAGGAGGATAGAATGGTCGACAGTGTCGAAGGCAGCAGAGAGGTCGAGGAGGACAAGGAGGCAGAGAGAGCCCTGGTCACAGATATTCAGAATGTTGTTAGTGAATTTGACCAGGGCTGTTTCTGTATTGGGGGGGGTTCAGAGAGGGAATGGCAGGAATGGAAAGAGCGAAGCTTAGATGTGACGACTTGTTTCAGTGCCTTGGAGAGGGATGGGCCGATAGCTGGAGAGTAGGGATGGGTTGTTTGAGGATGGGCATGATAACAGTTGTAGAATAAATAGGAGAATTTTGAGGGAAAGTTTGGAGGGGTGATAAAGGGTAAGGTACTTAAAGGAGGGAAAGGTTCCAGAGGAGTAAGGGGATAGGCCGAGCGAGCACCGGGAGATGAGAGCCACACCACCACCATGGTGGTTAGGTCGTGGGATATGATGGAATGTGTCTGTGTGTGTCTGTATGTTTGTGTGGGTGTCTATGCTTGTGTCTGTGTCTACGTTGCATCTGTGTGTATGTGTGTGTGTTCCGGCGATAGATCCAATGCCCCTTCACTCTCCTTATTTACCGTTACACTCAGTTTATTTTACGTCCCGTTAACACACCCTGCTCTGGCCACAACATCCCATTAGCCAAAATTTTGTGCCCTCTAGCCCTAGCCACATGTCGCCTATGATGCCAAGTGACCATTGCTCATGTGTGAGCCTTGGTAGTGAGCGTCGACAGATCACACAACGTTAGAGGATGTCATGGCCGAGCAGCACTTTCTTCACTTGGCTGCCATACCCAGGCACCGCCAGCACAACTCAAAATGTACTTCTTTGACCATGTTTTGGTCATCTTTCCCCTCCCCACCCCTCTCAGCTCCCACCCCCAGCTCGGGTGGTTCATCCAGCATTGTCTAGTGTGTGTGACACACTAGAATCCCAGTTAAACTCCGGAAACCCACCTAAAGTATCCGCGTGCCAGTTTTGTGATTATCGATTGTTTCATTCCAGTGCCTTGGGACGTCCTCCCGACGTGAAAGGTGCTATACAAATGTAATCTTGTTGTTGTTGTTGTTGTTGTTGTTTATTTCAGATTAAACTATGGGAGATTCCCAAGTGCGGAATCATAAAAAACATTGTGAATTCAAAGCTGGAGTTGCAGGGTCACTCCCGGAGAGTGGGACTCATCGAATGGCACCCGACAGCCAAAGACATTCTCTTTAGTGCCGGGTACGACTACCGGGTAAGCCAGAGGTTGTCGCAAAGACACTGTCACAATGTTAGGGGTGGGGAGGGAGTGGGGGAAGAGGGAAGGGGAGTGGAGTCAGAGAGGGAGTTGTGTGAGGGCGAGGAGTTGTGGAATGGGGGGAAGGGGTTATGGAGTGGGGGAAGCCTGTTTTAAGCAGGTGGGCAGGGGACACAATGTGGACTGGCATTGCTGAGCAGTGAGAGTAGCCAGGAAGGTTGGGTTGCAAGAGGTGGCAGAGGTAGATTGGGGTGGAGGGATTTGAACGTGAGGACGAGGATCTTGAATTGGATCCGCTGCGGGACGGGGAGCCAATGGAGCCAAGCGAGAGTGAGAGGGTTGGGTTTGCGGAGCCTCGTACGGAGATTTGGATAAAATACAAAATTACATTTGTAAAGGGTCATTCACATCGGGAGGACATCCCAAGGTGCTGGACAGTCAGGGATTTGGACCCAAATGGAGGTGGGGTGGGGTGGGGGTGGGGGCTGGTTGGGATCAGGGAGAGGTGGGTGGGTGACTGAAGGCATGGTCGAAGAGGAAGACCTTGAGACAGTCTGTCAGGACAGCAGTGGTCCTGGAGTCGAGGGTGGAGGCAGTGAGATAGAGTTGAGTGTCATTCGCATACATGTGGAAGTTGACTCCATGTTTGCGGATGATGTCACCAAGAGGGAGTATGTATAAGTTGAAAGGGAGGGGACCAAGGACAGAGCCTTAAGGAACTGCACACGAGACAGTGTGGGGGATGGAGGAGAAGCCATTTGTGGAGATGAAGTGGAGACAGTGTGAGAGGTAGGATCTGAACTATTCAAGGACAGAACCATGAAGATTAAGGTCAGAGGGGAGGCGATGGTTAAGGATAAAGTGGTCAACAGTGGCAAAGACCATGAAAAATTTTGAGACAGATGTTGGATCAGCTTCCAATGTAAACACATTCATTCTAAAGTGTCCAATAGATTTCACTCACAGAGAGCTCAGAGTCCAGCTGATGCTCCATTGCGGTAGTGTGGGAGCATCACAATTGTCAGAGGCATTGGGGTGAGACAGTCCTAGCTACGTCATAGGGAGAAACTTTAAAGATCATGGCCATTGTTTTGAATCTTATTTGTTCACCCTTTATGTTTCTTGTTGCAGGTTATGATCTGGAAGCTGAATTGGGAAGAATCGGTCATTACAAACCCAGTGAAGATCATGGACTTTCATCGAGATGTGATTATCTCTATTTCCTTCAACACAGACGGTAGTCGCTTTGCCACGTCCTGCAAGGACAGGAAGCTGCGCATCGTGGATGCTCACTCAGGGGTGGTTTTACAGGTAAAACACCAGCGCCCTCTTCCGATGGATCCTCACAGTGCGGGGTGACGACCTGGACACGAGTGGGGTTCAGTTTGCAAGACTCGCAAAGGATCTTTTTTTATTGTAGGATCACTTTTCTAGGGGTAATAATCCCTTCAAAAAAAAGTTAAATAATAACTGGGTCACACAATTCACGACTGTTTGTGGGACATTGCTGTGCGCAATTTGCTGCCGTGTTTCTTCCACAAAATATCCAGTTAATTCACTTTACAGTATATTCTGTGAATCGCTTTGAGACTTCACAATGATGTGATAAGGCGCTTTATCAAATGCAAGGATTATTATTATGTGTAACTGGAGCAATTCTGCAGGTTGTCCAGATATCTGGGGTCAACCCTCTGCTTGGACCTCAATCTCCTGCCAAGATACTGGGAAATCCCAGTGTCTCAGTGCAGGATTCACTAGTTTCAAATCTTTATTGGGACTCTTGAAGACTTGAGCCTACAGCTGCTGATGTTTTCTCAATGTGGACTTGAATCATAGAATCATAGAATTGTACAACACAAAAAGAGGCCATTCGGCCCATCGAATCTGTGCCGGCTCTTTGAATAGAGCAATTAATGTCAATCACATTCCCCAGCCCTTTCCCCATAACCCTGCAAACCCGTTCTCCTCAAATACCTGTCCACCACGTTTTTAAAAGTAGTTATCGAATTGGCCTCGACCACCCTTTCAGGCAAAGCATTCCAGATTCAAACAACTTACTGTGTGAAAAAATTTCTCCTCACCTCCCCTCTGCTTCTTTTAGATACTATTTTGAATCTGTGACCTCGAGTCACCGATACACCCACCAGTGGAAATTTTTTTTCCCTTTCTAACCTATCAAATCCCCTCATGATTTTGAAGACCTCTATTAGGTCTCCTCGTAACCTTCTCTGCTCCAATGAGAATAATCCTCGCCTCTCTAACCTTTCCTCATAATCAAGGTCCTCATTCCTGGTACCATCCTCGTAAATCTCCTCCGTACTCTTTCCAATGCCTTAACATCCTTACTATAATGTTGTGCCCAGAACTGGGCGCAGTATTCTAACTGAGGCCTAACCAGTGTTTTATGTAGGTTAACCATAACCTCCTGACTCTTGTACTCTCTGCCCCTATTTATAAAGCCTAGAATCCCATTTGCCCTTTTTACAGCCTTATCTACCTGTCCTGCCACCTTCAAGGATTCATTTACCTGCACCCCTAGGTCTCTCTGTTCTTTTACCATCCCTTAAGATTGTATTATCTAGCCTGTATTGCCTCCCCTCATTCTTTCTACCAAAATGCATTACTTCGCATTTCTCTACATTGAAACTCATCTGCCATGTGTCTGCCCATTTTACCATTTGAAAGTGAAGGGTAGCATTAGTCACTATAAACACCAGGCATGTTCTTTGCCAGGATTATGGAAATCTGTTGCTGATCCTGAGATGATTAATAATAGTGTTATAATAATATATTAGATGTAGTGCGTTACCATTTCACTGAGACGTCTCAAAGTGCTTCACAGAATATACTGTAAAAGTCTTTGCATTTGATATAGCATCTTATCACATCGTTGAAATGTCTAAATCACTTTTGTCTAAATCATAAGATTTGCAGTGTAGAGACTGTGCAATTAGTTTTGTAGGTAATGAACCCCCAAATCCCACCTTGCCTTACCCTGTGAGGTCATATTGCTCTTAAATTTAACAAGATGCAGAATTGTGGAAATTTCTTAAATTCAGTCTTAATTTAGACAGTAGTTATTTTTATAAAACTGTGGAAGACTGGCTATCAATGTAAGATTTTCAGAAATTTCCACAATTCGGCCATGTCTAAAATTTGAAAGCAAAATAGTCCCATAGGCAAAGACTACTGGGAATTTTTGGACCTGTGTTTTCTCTTGAGGTACATTTTATCAGCAGGGCACCCTGAGATTTGAATCCAAATATGTCTAAGATTCGATGTTATGCAATGGTTAGAGAAAAGACCAAAGACAGGAGATTACTGTAACCATTTTAGAGGATTCACAATGTATAATAATAATTAATAGTAATAATAATCCTTAAATTTGATATAGCATGTCTCAGACATCGGCAGGAAGTCTCAAAGAGCTTTACATGATTTACTGCTTATTCTGTATGCACATCCGGCAGCTAATTTTGCACACAGCCATGAAGTGAGGGACCAATTTTATCTGGGGGATTGTTGGCTTGGCCCGGGAGAGGGAAGTTACCTTTTCTTTTCGAGTAGTGCCATGGGATCTTTACCATCCATCTGAACAGACAGACCGGACATCAGCTTAACATCTCATCCGAAGGAGATAAAACTTTTATCTGTGAATCTGTTTGGTTCTCTGGTCATTCACTAATATTTTTTCTAATGCGCAATATGTTATCCTGGTTCACAGGAATCCAGTTGCAAGTCCCACAAGGTTAATAAAGTCTTGTTCCTGGGCAACTTGAAGATGCTGTTGACCGTGGGCAGCTCCCGGTGGAACAACCGTCAGATCGCATTCTGGGATGAGGTAGGTGTGGGTTCCTTGCTTTCCTTCTATTAGGAGATATTTCTATGGCTTCTCGGCTATTTGTTGGAATCTCGGGAGGATGGGCCATTCCGGAAATTTAACAGGAGGTCACTGGATACAGCAAGCAAACCAAACCAGTGGCTGCCAGAAGGCTCCTCAAATCCACTGCAACCAGAAGATATTAGACAACAAAGGCACGTGTGTGCAGGTGTGCCACCGTATGTATAGCCAGTGTTTTGTATGGCAGCAAGTAATGTATTTTCACCTGTCTGCTTCATATCCCCAGCCCTACCCACCACACTATCAGTGGACGGGCTTTTAACCCTTCTACCCCCACTCTCTGAAACTCCATCCTGGACTCCCTTCGACTCGTACTCCCCCCACCCCCTCCCCCCACCATCTCTATCAAGGCCCGTCTCAAGACTTTCTACTTTGATCGCATCTTTGGTTATCTTTCCACACTCTTCCTCCCCCACCACACCTACAAACTCCTAACCGGCAACTGAAAAGTACCTTGGGACATCCTCCTTACGTGGAAGGTGCAATATAAATGTAAATTTGCAATCGTGTCAGAAGGGAAATCTAAATCAGCCCAGAAATGGCTTGGCCCCAAGAAAATAGATACAAAGACAAGGAAGAACAGGGCATAAAAAGGCCAGTAGCCCTCATCACGTCCACTCCAGGATAATCAGTCCAGCTTAAAACAATGTCATCCTCACCTCTTTCCTGACTCTAGCCACTTGTTCCTTCCTAGACGGGTGGAAAACAGAGGAAAATAAATCTCACATCCAGTTATTAGGTGGAGAGGGCGGGGTGGAGGTTTACCTGGAAATTTCCGAGTTAGATGAGTGACCAGTGAGCTCCTGGAGAGGCTGAGCCAGCGCCCCACAAAAGCATTTCTTAATATCCCCTTGTGCTCTGCTACACATGTCATGGTGTAAGCAGCTCAGTGCATTAGCCTTGAGCAGAAACTTTCAGATTCAAGTAACTACTCTGAACTGTATCACTAGGTGGCAGTACAACCACAGCAGGAGGAATCCATTGACAGCTTGTGTGTGTGAATAGGGAAGAGTGTGTTAAACCCACTGCCCCCAATCCACCCAGCCTTAGCCTGTAAGACATAGTGTTGCCTTTGGTGTAGAAAATACTTAAACTAATTTGGGAGGTGGTTTTCTGTAGTTCGTAACACAATCCGGCTTCCAAATTATGGATGGATTTTCCAAGCTTTGCTCTAGAGAGACCCGAACCCGGCTTGTCTGCGAATGAAATATCCACGGATCAGAATCCTACAGGTGGAAGAAATAGAGCTCCTTTTAATCAAAAACCTGCTCTGGCCATTTCAGAGTAAGAAAATGTCAGATGGTTGACATTTTCTTTTGTATAGGTCTCCTGCCACAATTACACTGACAATAACATTGTGTGTGTGTGGTTGGGTAGGGGTTACAGTCCAGTGGGAGATGCTAAGTGCATGAATTCTGGGAGTTTCTCCTCACTGATGCTCATTTATTTTCTTGACTAACTCAGGAGGACCTGTCTGTGCCTTTATTGGAGGAGGATCTGGATGGCTCCTCGGGAGTGTTATTCCCATTCTACGACCCCGACACACACATGCTTTATTTGGCCGGAAAGGTAAGCACAGGGTTGCCGTCCACTGAGGAGAGTGCTGGGCTGGGCAGCGCTGGACTGGGCTGGGGTGGGCTATTTTATAGGTTGGACTCTTCTCCATTGAGGGTGAGTACCGGGTGGGAGTGGGGGGTGAGGAGGAGGGAAGGAATGTAAATGTACCACTGTTGGAAATGCTGATTTTCCAACAGTGATATACATTTATTCAGCATCCTCCACAGAAAAAGATGTTCTCAACGCACTTTTGCAGAATGCGATTCATGCAAAATGAAGTGAATGTTGGTCTGGAGACAAATCTGAGCCCAGAGAAACAACAGTGAGATGAGAAAGCAATTCATTTAACTTTGTGGTGGTGAAGTTGCATGATGACCCCAATACAATACACCTAAACTCCTGATATATCATCACCCCAAGAGCTCAGTGATTATATTCATGGCGACTTTGTGTGCATGAGTCCTCCAGAGCCATTAGGGGGTGCTGTGGCTGGGAGGGCCTACACCATCATACACTGTGCCTGTATAGAGCAAGCAGCTGTCAGTGTGACGGTGTAGCCCCCATGACTGTCAGGCTATTTGATAAAACTGGTTTAAGTTGAGAACAGTTTATGTATAGGCAAACGTGTCTAAAAAACATTTTGTTCATTTTCCCAACCTGAATCACTCAGACTTTAACAATCAGCCAGAACCTCACAGAGGGTAAGGTCTAGCGTTTGTACTTACAGAGATCTTACCACAACAGTCAAAACAGCTGCCGCTGGCTGAGGGCAAGCATTTCCCATGCTAGGCAGCTCATCATGAAAGTTTACTGAGTGTCCCCAGCACTGAGCAGCACAGCTAAATTCATTCCGATGATTTATCTGATATTTCTACTTACTGGGATGTGTAGAATGTGGTAATGTATGTTATAAGAGTGATGAAACATAGAGGGGTCCCTTGTTCTCATTTTGCATTGGAAGTGGCCTAGATGTTGACAACAGGATGATATAGACCATGATATAAGCCAGGGTTTTATTATCAGGAGTTCACTGTAACAATGATAATCCCTACATCTGATATAGAGCTTTGCACATTGTGAAAATGTCTCAAAGGGCTTCACAAGATTTACTATAAAGTGCAGTGACTGTTTTATAGGCAAACACGGTAGCCAATTTGCACAAAGCAATGTCCCACAAACAGCCATGAAGCGAATGGCTAATTTTATCTGGAGGATTGTTGGTCAAGACAAGGGAAGAAATTTGCCTTTCTTTTGAATATTGCCATGGGATCTTTAATATCCACCTGAACAGGCAGATGGGACCTCGGTTTAACCTCTCATCCGAAGGACATCACATCCACAGTGCTTCTCCAGCATTGTATTGGAGTGTCAGCCTAGACTTTGAGTTCTAAATCCTGAAATGCAGCTTAAACCTACAACCTGAGGAATCCTGTAGCACTCACCCCGCAAGCGAGAGATCTGGGTTCAATTCCTAGCAAGGTGAAATGTTGGGCAAGTTTCCTTACTCCACATGCCTTTGTTTACCTAGCAGTAAGTTGGAGCCCAGTTATAAGTCGATTGGCAGATCACTTTTCCAGGGATAATAATCCTTCAAACAAAAGCAATAATAATTTGATCACTTAATCCACGACTGTCTGTGGGACACTGCTATGCACGATTGGCTGCCGTGTTTCGCCCATAAATATATAGTCAATTCCCTTTACTGTATATTCTGTGAAGCGCTTTGAGACATCTCAAGACGTGATAAGGCACTATATCAAATGCAGGGACTATTATTATTATTAACCTTCTGACTCAGAGGCAGGAGTGTTACCAGCTGAGCCAGGCTGACTAGTACAGCGTGCAGTAACAGACAGGGAAAACACCCAAATCACAAGACTGTGGTGTGACTTTAAAATATTAATTGAATTCTGTAAGATAGTCATTAAATTGGATCACTGGACTTGGAGTTAAAATTCACACTGTCTGGACGGTTGCCTAGTTTGGGGCCTTGAAAGACAATAAAGAAACCAAAGACAGGAAAACGAGAAAGAAATGAGACAAAGAAGATATTAAATAAAAACAGAAATCACTGGGAACTCGGAGCAGGTCAAGCAGCATCTATGAAGAGAGGAAAGTGAGTTAACCTTTCAGATTGATGACCTTTCGTCAGAACTGGGGGATATTGGAAGGGAGCAGATTATAAGGACAAGCAGAAAATGAGGGCGGGGAAAGAAAGACAAAAGAAAAATTTAGGTGAGAAATAAGAGATAATGAGATCAAAGGTGTTGATGGTTCAACACAAAAGAAGGCAATAGTGGGAGATTGTAGAAAGAAAAGATGTGTCTGGGACCCAGAGGATGTATGAATGGTTATAGAAGAAGGGAGGAAGGAGGTAAGGTCGAGGGAAGATGGGAGCTGTGTTTAAGATTGGAAGTGGTTAAAATCAATGTTGAGGCCAGAGGACTGTAAGGTGCCTAGGAGGTAGATGAGGTGCTTTTCTTCGAGCTTGTGTTGTGCTTCATTGGAACAGCATAGGAGGCCATGGACAGAGAGGTCGGAGTGAGTGGGAAGGAGAATTAAAGTGGCAAGCGATTGGAAGCTCAGGGTTGCACTTGTGGATGGATCAGAGTTGTTCGGAAAAGTGATCACCCAATTGGCGTGTTTCTCCCCAATATAGAAGAGATCACATTGTGAACAGTGAATACAGTATACTACAATGGTGGAGATACATGTAAATCGCTGACTCACCCAGAAAGTGTTTGGGGCCCTGGACAGTGGTAGAGGAGGAGATGAACGGGCAGGCGTTCCATCTCCTGCACTGGCACAGGGTCGGGAGAGCAGGTGTTAGTGAAACAGGGAGTTGTGGAGGGAGTGGTCCCTTTGGAATGCTGAGAGGAAAACAAGAAAAATATGTTGCTCGCTTGCATTTCTGTTCAGAAAGCATTGACGTGCAGCTCAGTGAGTCTGCTTTCTATAACTACGGGTGGAGTGTGAATTTACTTTCCTCCTTGTTACACCCGCAGGGAGACGGCAACATTCGATACTATGAATTGAGCTCTGAGAAACCTTATCACAACTATCTCATGGATTTCCGCTCCTCGTTACCTCAGAAAGGAATGGGTAGGTTCCCAGCACTTGGCTTGTTGTAAAATATCCTGGGCTGTTTTCCCTTATAATGAAGAGCGGGTGATGCCGATGATATCGTGTGACTAGCTCTTACCTGTCATTGGCTTTTCTGTATGCAAAAGAATCATCTTTTTAAAAAAATCCCATCTACTCTGTTTGTGAACATGTGTGTGTGGGTGGGATTCCATGTGCTGCATTGATGGCTCCTTGGAAAAACAGCACCGGGAATGATGCCTAAAATCTGGGAATAGGGCCTCCGGTAAAGTCCAGTCAGATTGAGTTTCCCACCGAGCATAGCATACAGATTGAAATTTTACATCACAAGGAGGTTTTTCCAGTGTCGAGGGAATATTCTTTCTCACTGTTATTTTTCCGACTCCCAATAGTCACACACATCACTGTGTGAAGTTACTGGGTTATTGTTAAGTTACTGGGTTTTATTTTTCTTCTGCTCTCGTTTCTTTGCCAATTTTGTCTCTTCCTCCATTAAATGTGTGTGTTTTCTGTTTCCTTCACATTGCTGCTTGTGACATGACAGGCACAACATGACTGGGATTACAGCACCACAGTACCTCACTTGAGTGGCCATTATCCATGCATGAGCCTTGACATTGAGTGTTGATGAAGTATTCAACTGTAAAGGGTGTCAAAGCCGAGCCTGATCCTGTTTCCAAATTGATGTTCACCGAAACACTCCACCCCCAACCCATATGCATGTACTTCAGAAGGAATATTTACATAGCAGCCAGGAGCAGGAATTTATCTGAGAGTTCTCTTCTTAACCCAAGTGACACTGAGGCAGATTGAAGCCCCTTCTCCTGCTTCATTTACAATCAACCAACTAAGCAGTGGTTTGAATCTGCATGTTGCCCATTCTGTACAACTCAGCCACTCAGTGGATTCCAGGGAGCCATTGTTGGAGTGAGCTGGGCAAATTTTAAAGTTAAATTTATAATAATAATAATAATAATCCTTGCATTTGGTACAGCACCTTTCATATCAGGAGGATGTCTCAAAGCGCTTCACAGGATTTAGTGTAAAGTGTAGTGACTGTGTAATTACGAGACAAATATGGAATCCAATTTTCACAAATGTAAGGATTATTATTATTAATGAAGTTAATAATGCCATACTGTATCTAAACCAGACTTGAACTAGCTTTATTTGGGATGGCAGCACACTGGGATATTGCATGTTAGTAGTCCTGAGTGCTAAGCAAGTATTGTGGAGTCCTGTAGCTCAGTGGTTAGACTACTCGCTTTGCAAGCGAGAGACCTGAGTTCAATTCCAGGCAGGGCGAAACCTTGGGCAAGTTTCCTTACTCCACACGCCTAATAATAATCCCTCCAAAACCAAAAACAATAATAAATTGGTCATTTTCAATCTACGACTGTTTGTGGGACATTGCTGTGCGCAATTGGCTGCCGCGTTCGCCCACAAATATACAGTCAATTCACTTTACAGTGTGTTCTGTGAAGCGCTTTGGAATGTCCTCCTGACGTGAAAAGCGCTATATCAAATGCAAGGATTATTATTATTATTATTGATTGATTGATTGATCTGATTGATGAGTTCAAATATTAGTTTGTCTCCCCTGGCCCCGACTCCCAGCTCGGGTCCGTAATTCTGTCTGTCCAACACATTGGAAAGTCCTCCCAACGTGAAACAAGTGTTAGCGTCCAGAGGGACTTGGGTGTCCTTGTACACCAAACACAGAAAGTTAGTCTGCAGGTGCAACAAGCAATTAGGAAGGCGAACGGTATGTTAGCATTCATTTTGAAAGGATTAGAGTATAAGAGTAGGGAAGTCTTGCTGCAACTGAATAGGGCCCTGGTGAGACCACACTTGGAATACTGTGTCCAGTTTTGCTCTCCTCATTCAAGGAAGGATGTACTTGCCTTGGAGGGAGTGCAGTGTAGATTTACTAGGTTAGTACCAGGGATGAAGGGGTTAAGTTACGAGGACAGGCTGACCAATTTGGGCCTATATTCTCTAGAATATAGAAGAATTAGAGGTGATCTTATAGAAACCTAGAAGATCATCAAAGGGCATGAGAGTAGATAGTGGGAGATTGTTTCCCCGGTTGGAGAAACTAAAACCAGGGGTCACAACCTTAAAATCAGGGGACAACCCTTTCGCACTGAGTTGAGGAAGAACTTCTTCACTCAAAGGGTGGTGAATGTATGGAACTCACTACCTCAAAGGGCTGTTGACGCTCAGTCCTTGAACATATTCAAGACTGAGATAGATAGATTTCTTATTGCAAAAGGTATTAAGCGATATGGGGATAAGGCAGGGTCAGGTTATTAGCTGGAGTTAGATTAGAAGATCAGCCATGATTGAATGGCGGGGCAGGCTCGAAGGGCCGAATGGCCTACTGCTGCTCCTACATGTTATGTTAAGTGTAATTTTGTTGTTGTTGTTATTTGACACAAATGGTCACAACCCACATAAGTCCAACTCCTGTGGGTCAAGCCCTGACTGATCAAGGCCCAGGGACCAGGAACAAGGCAATGTGTTGTTGGGAGGCACTGAGTGCTGGATGGAAAACGTAATGAGAAATGTGGTTGTTTATTCATTGTGCAGCTGTAATGCCAAAGAGGGGCTTGGACGTCTCTGCCTGCGAAGTCTTCAGGTTCTACAAGCTGGTGACAATCAAGAGCCTTATTGAGCCTGTCTCAATGATTGTACCTCGACGGGTAAGAAAATTAAGTACAATTTCAAATTTAAAAAAAGTCTCCTTGTCCCAATGTTAGTGACCTTTGTGAAAATTCTTTCTCATCTTTTTACAGTGCAAGACAGTGCAGGGGTCTAATACGCAAGTTGAGTTAACAACCCAAGTGCAACTTTTACAGCTTGGGCTAACCATGTGCAAACGAATATAGATGCCCTTTATGGAGGCATTATCCTGCTGTCAGTTTCTTTGTTTAAATAACACATTTAAGGTCATCTGCACACGTGGGTTTGCCTGAGGTTAATGTAAACCGTAAATGTTACACACAGGTTGTCACTCGGGTGATCAGATTGCTGCCAACATCCCGCATTCCTTGCTTTGGGCAATCACAGAAAACGGGACGTACGTTAGCAGTAAACTGAGAGGGACGTTTTTTCTTTAAGTGCAGGAGCCAGTCAGTGGGCCACAGGGAACAAGTCAGCCAATTGCAGCCTTGTCGAACCCACTATCATGCCTCATTATAACACGGGTTGTGGTTTTATGGACCCTAAAACACCTTTCTATAATGGGGCTCCGTTAACATTTGTTTGGGGATACACGCGGTTTATCTAGAAAAATGTGGCCTATTTTCCCCCACAAAATATTCAGTGCTAATAATAATAATCCTTTTGCATAATGTTGTGTAGAATAAGAAAAGCTCTGTGACTGGACATGTAATGCAGAGCCTTACTGTGAGGTGACAATGTCTTTCAGTCTGATTCCTACCAGGACGATATCTACCCAATGACGTCGGGGGCAGAGCCAGCGCTGACTGCGCAAGAATGGCTGAATGGCATTAATAGAGGTCAGTTCTCAATGTGCTTCACTGGATTGGCCGGGACAGCTCGGCTCCGAGCAATTCTTGTGTAGAAGCTGAAGTCTCGTGACTTGACAGCTTGGCTCGTGTCAGCCTGGCTCACTCTCGCCTCTGAGTCAGAAGGTTGTGGGTTCAAGCACCACGTCAGAACTTGGAATCACATCGTCTAAGCTAACAGTGCCTTATAATAACAGGAAAATAGCTTCCAATAGCTCAATTTCCAATAGCTCAACTATTAAATATTAAGTAGATCACAAGACTGTTTGGGATGAAGAAGGCCTTTTGGCCTATCCAATCTCATCCTACTCATCCCCCCCATCACAAGATCAACTGGCTTTTTAAATGAGCCCAGTCTCCTAGTGTAGTCTAGTTAGGCAAAGTATCACTGAAGGTTTAACTCAAAGTCCAAACCATCATTTAAATCACCTGTTTCAGAAGCACAACGTTGTTGTTTATTTATTTTACATTTGTCATTCAGTGAGTTCCATCACATTGAGAAGAGCGACACAGGCAAGATCTAGAATCTAGACTCACAACGGTATAATATAATGTTGCGCACCTCCTGGGTATTGTGGATTGATCTGCAGCCACAGTCTTCTGTGAACTGTCAGCAGAAGGTGTCATTGAAGGGGGACAGTATATTGTGTGTGTTTATCGAGTGCTACTCCTTTGATTGAGTGCTCTCACCGGTTACCCACTTCAGATTTTGCCGGATTTTGGGATTCACAGTTGCCCGTTTTCCAAATGTCTTAAATCAAACCATTTCCAATGTTTGCAACCTGGAAAAATCGCAATTAATAATCTTTACATCTGATGCAGAATCTTTCACCTTGGGAGGACATCTCAAAGCGCTTCACAAGATTTACTGTGCTCTGCAGCCACTCTATATGTAGGCAAATGCAACAGCCAATATGCGCACAGCAATGTCCCACAAACAGTGTGCTTTTCGATTAATTTTTACTTGTTCATGTCTCTTTCATTTTCACTGTTCCAGGTCCCATCTTAATATCCTTGAAGCCAGGTTGTAACATAATGCATCTCTCGTCTCTGAAAGCTGGGTACAATACGATGACCCAGTATGATCAGAAAGAACACCAGGATAAAAATTACGGGACGCTGCAGGGATTCCTGGAAAATAAAGAACAAAAGGATAATCTGGTGCAAGTGCACGATCCGAGAAAGAACCTGATATCCAACGGGTTTGACTTGTCTGCATGTCCAGCTCCCAAAACTGAGAATGAGGTACGACATTAGATAGGAGGAAATTGGAGGCATAAAAAGGCAGGGAATCCTTGGCTTTATAAATAGAGGTATAGAGTATAAAAGCAAGAAAGTTATGTTGAACCTTTACAAATCACTGGTTAGGCCTCAGCTGGAGTATTGTGTCCAATTTTGGGAACCATACTTTAGGAAGCATGTCAGGATCTTGGAGAGGGTATAGAGGAGATTTACCAGAATGATACCAGAGCTGAGGGACCTCAGTTATGCGGAGATTAAAGAGGCTGTGATTGTCCTAAAAGCAGAGATATAATAGTGGTGTTCAAAATTATGAGGGGTTTTGACAGAGCAAATAAGAAGAAACTGTTTCCATTGGGAGGTAGGTCTGTAATTAGAAGACAGATTTAAGATAATGACAAAAGAACCAGAGGGTGAGGAAAATTATTTTGACACATAGTTGTTATGGTCTGGAATGCACTGCCTGAGAGGGTGGTGGAAGCAGATTCGATGGTAGCTTTGAAAAGGAAATTAAATAGGTACTAAGAAAGGACAAATTTGCAGGTCCATGGGGTAAGAGCGGGGGAGTGGGACTAGTTGGATAGTTCTTTCAAAGAGCCGGCACAGGCACGATGGGCTGAATGGCCTCCTCTGTGCTGTAAGATTTGATGATTTTATGATTCTAGGACATTAGATAGGAGGAGAATGGGGTAGGAAATAGGATGATAAAGAATAGCTGACACTTTGTACTTATGATATTTCCTGTGTTCTCTCTCTCTCTCTCTCTCTCTCTCCTCAACCAGCTTTTGCAGATGTTTTACAGGCAGCAAGAAGAAATCCGAAAGCTGCGGGAAATCCTGGGGCAGAAAGAGGTGCGGATCAAACAGCTGGAACTGGAGATAAAAAATGTACGTAACAGTCCCATTGGTTATTGAGGAGCAAGAAGAGTGTGCGACGGGGGGAGACGTAAATGCAGCTTGAGGAGGACTGCTACCTACTTGAATATAGTTATATTTTTTATTGAGAAAAAAAAGTTTAATTTGTAAAACTGTCTGTACTGTACAGGGTGCACCTTTGTGTTTTTTTATTTATCTCTTTATATGATTGTGTACATACACTAATTTTTTTACCATACACTGGCTTTATAGGACTACCGTTCCACGCTCTTTGATCTTACGATGTCCGTTTCCTTAGGCTTCTGGTGATTGTCAGCTTTTACAGCGGGTATGGTGGGGGTGGGGAAATCAGATGGAATATTTCAAACTTTTGCTGTTACCAACTCTGTCTAAGCGCTCTGAGACGCTACCCTGCATGAAGGGCGCTGTATAAACACAAGTTGTTGTTGTGGTTGTTACTGCTTCACAACCACTTCGCATTTGGTGAATGAATAAGAGTGAGGCCGCTTTTTGGTCACAGGTTGGTTAACAGCTGCATTAGGCAAATAAATCACTGGTTTGTAAATCGGACGGGCTTTTTTAACAATACTTTTGATTTGGCTGTTTTAATTTTTTAAAATATGTATAAATATATATTATATAGACATTGAACCCGACAGGGACAGTGACTCTGAGGAGTGGCCTGACAAACATTTAGTGCCTCTTGTGAAAGGCTGTGTGCACTGCTGTGGGTCTCCTCTGGTGGGCAAAATAAATCATTGGTGATTTTTTTAAAATAACTATTTGTGTTTGCTGATATTCTAATTGCATGGAAGGGATGGCTTCCAGCCGTTTGCACTCTGACTCAAGTGCTCCAAGAAACTGCCCCACATGAATGGCGCTATGTAAATGCAAGTCGTCATTGTTGTTGCTGTTGTTGACTTTGTGGCCGGGGCTAAATTTCCCCTTTTTGAAAGCCAGAAGAATTATGAAATAAAAGTAAATAGAAAAAAAAGAACGCAATATTGAATTGTTGACAATACCTCAACCTTTTTTATAGAGTTAAACACACTTTCCAAACTTTAAATGAATAAAAACTGGAGAAATACAACAATCTTTCTAACATTTTAAACTCCCCTTTTAAAACATTTTGAACAGTGTTTAGAGAAAACTACAGTGAACTTTTTGTAACTCCAACATATACACAGATTTACAGGGTTTATGGTAACATATCTACGGCAGCCTGAAGGGGTGGTGCAATGCCCTAGGGCAGGGGTTTCGTCCCGAACCTTCTGAGCTCAAAGCCCCCATGATATTAGGCATCCTGACTGAAGACACACCCATTCAGGCTGTGGGGGCTTCCTGTGGTGCAGCGACCCTCTTGACTCTGGTGCACTGGAATCATACAGCCTGACTGAGTGCTTGGAGCTCAATTCCTTGTCAGACAAATTGTACTGTGAGTTACTGTGAGTCTTTGGGATGAGAGATGGTCGTAAGGATTCTCGGGGAATTGGATTCTCTGGGAATACTCATCTGGGGCTTATTATAATTATAATTAGTTATATATTATATATTATAATTATATATATATATTATAATTAGGTTGCTCATCACTGTTGTTCGGCACCACAGAAGGCTGTCCTGAACTACCTTGCACTCGAACCATGACCCGATCAGAGCCTGGCTTAGCTGCTTTCTTTCTCTGCTCGGACATGTTGGGGTCCTTCAGATCTTTTATGAATTGGGATTTGGACCTCTCTGCCTTGCTGGTATTTGTCGTCTCAGCGTTAATGGTGCTGAGGAGCAAACCTTGGGAGCCCACCTTTTTTATCCACTATCCGCTCCTCGGGCTGCGTCCATAGTCCAACTTGGCTTCTGTAGCCTTTGCACTTATTGGTTGTGTGTCTCCTGGCTCAGCAGCCCACACATTTACAACATTAAAGCCCAATAGCAGCCGGTTGGGGTTTACAGAACAGCAGAGAACTGCTCCATTTAATTTTTGTTACTTAAAAACAATCGTCTTCTCGCAACACGGGGCAAAAGCATCAGATCAGCAGATTCCTTGTAAGGCACTATGCAAATGTACGACTGTTCAGGTTACCCAATGTCAGTAAAAAAAATTGAATGAAATTGTATCAAATTAAATGAGTAGATAACTACTGGAGTCCTGTGGAGTCCTGTAGCTCAGTGGTTAGTGCACTCGCTTTGCAAGCGAGAGACCTGAGTTCATTTCCAGGCAGGGCGAAACCTTGGGCAAGTTTCCTTACTCCACACAGAGCCTAATAATAATCCCTCCAAAAAACAAAAACAATAATTAAATTGGTCATTTTCAGTCTATGAATGTTTGTGGGACATTGCTGTGCGCAATTGGCTGCCGCGTTCGCCTACAAATATGCAGTCAACTCACTTTACAGTATATTCTGTGAAGCGCTTTGGGACGTCCTCCCGACGTGAAAAGCGCTATATCAAATGCAAGGATTATTATTATTACTGCTCATGTCTCTGACTGTCATTGCAAACGCTTATTATCTATTCAGAACTTCTTACCAATGTTGATACTTTCATTACGTTACTAAACTGACCAATTGGGTTGTTGACTTGTGGGATACTGCAAGGTGCAATTAGCTGACATATTTCACCCACATAATACACAGTCAATCCACTTTACGATATATTCTGTGAAGTGCTTTGTGACATCTCAAGGACGTGATAAGGCATTATGTCCAATACAAGGATTATTATTGGACTATACAGGGCTCTCAGGAGATCACATTAAGAATAGCGGAGATGAGAAAAGGCAATTTAGCAAATCCTCCGCTCTATTATCTCATCCAATTCTACGCTAAGCTTTGATCTGAATAGCCCATTTACTCATTCTGACTCAACTTGGGCAGATTGTTTCAAACTTGTGTGACTTATTTGAATAAAAAACTTCCCTCCAGTACGTGTACCCATTGCTAAACTGGTCTTGACTATTCTACATTTATATCCAAACTTATTTGTTTTTAAGTCAGCTGTTTGTACGTCAGTTGCTTTAACAGCCCTAACTTTGCTTCGATTAAATTCAGAAATAATATGTGCTCCATTCACCTCCCTTATATTCATTTTATTTTTTTGACCTTTTCTGATCTTAGCAAGATGCTCTAGAGCCATGGAAGCTCTCAAAGGGACACAGAGGAGGGTCTTCTTGTGCTATCACTGAAACCCTCCTCCTCAGTGCAAGTTGTGTGAGCTTTGGTGCTTCTGGTTTATTTGTTGCCAAATTTGTTGACTTAAAAACGTGCCTATTTAGAATTTCCTACAAATGAACTTTCAAACAATATCTACCCCAAACGAGATATGCACAATATTTCAGTTTTCTAGGAAATGTTGACTATCTCCCTCCATTCCCCTTCCCCATGTCATTTGGAATAGTTGTGTTCTTATCTAACCTTTTACCTTTGCACCACATTAATGAAACTAGAGACAACAAAGCCAGAGGCCAGGTTTTGCTGTCATGTTAGCTTTTTAATGCTGTGTCTGTGCTGCAACATCGGCTTGGAAGTTCTGCCTATGTTTAGCTTGGTTTCTTTTCAATTTAGTTAAATTTATCCTCAAATACTCCAGATTAGCAACCCCAATAACCTGTACTGACTCCCTCCATCTTCGGGATGCAAATGCAAACCTTTTTCCAGGCTTTAGTGGCCAGTAGCACACTTTTATTCAATGGTTTGTCAGACTCAGTGGGGAGGTAGGAATCTTTTTATTCAGTGGGAGTTTGGTGGTTGGCTTGCAAATTCCAAATGCAAGCTGCCATTGTGTTCTACACTGTGTGCTTTAGGGGGGAAGAGGCAGATAGCCCGAAAGGCTCAAATGTTGGTCTGCATTTAAGAGAAAATATTTTTAGATGTGGGCAAGGCTTGAGTGGAAGTTTAGTTATGAGGCAACTAGCTGGATCTCCAGGTTGTTTGGTTATCCTGCAAGCCAAAGCCCTAATGAGCTGGACAAGCAGCGGGAAAGTTTGCCAGACAGCAATATCAATGGCAAGCTATGCAGTTTTAGCTGGTTAGACTCCAGCAGTGCCTGAACTCACACTCTGGGGTCCCCAAGCCTTAGCTCTTGCCAACCTGCGCCTAATACTTGCCGGAATTAGGAAAGCAGGATACGTCCCTCCAGGGAGAGAGTGCACATTCCATTCCAACAATCTATCTCTGGGATTTCCATGTGTAGATGGGATGCATGGAAATCTCAGATTGGTTTGGATACTCTTAAGCATGGTGATGGGTTTCCGCATGTGTCAGATACCCAACTGACCCCCAAGAACCTGGATCTCCAAGTTGTTTGGTTATCCTGATAAGATATGTAGTTAACAGGAACTTGCCCAAAGGAGTTGAATAACCATATTAGATTGGCTGCATTCACTGCTTAAACTGAAGCATGTCAAAAGCTTATACATTGTAATATTTACTGTGCTAATACAGTATATTCTGTTAAAGCTTTCCTTTTTGTATTTGGTGATTTAATTCCAAGGCATAATAAAGAAGATGTAATAAAACAATGTATATTTCCAAATGATGTACTGTACCTTCTTATCCTATTGAAACTGGTGTTAAGAATAATGCCCTGTGTGATCTCACGGTGCAAACCTGTGAGTTGATAGTTGTGAACAATGACTGCCTGAGTTTTTTAAAAATAAATTTTAGAGCACTACTTTGAGGGAGGTGTGAATAGCACTTGAATGTTATCTTAAGACAATTCTGTGTAAATTCAGGCTTTGCAATTCTGTGCTAATTTATGCTTAAATTGTTTTTTTTGTGGAGGGAATGGGCGGGGGGTAATATTGTATACCCCGTTACTTGATATTTGTGATTGAACAAAATATTTCTGTTTAATTTTTCTCATATTCACCATTTTCTGTCGTGCGTGTGGGGAGGGGAAAAAACGAGGGTATGTGTCGAACAGAATGTGTCTAAGCAGCACACACAATGAATCTCCTCCACTTGTCGCTATACTGATCTTTATGGATAAACATTGAACAATTCTGCACATGTTGAGGGCTAAGTTTCATTAAAAGAACCATAAACAAGACTGTTTGCAAGTGTTTTTTTATGTGTTAGAATGCAGAGTTTAGTTTATATTTTTGCCCACAAAATATAGTTCATTCAGTTTACACTTGAGATGTCTCAAAGACGTGATAAGGTGCTACATCAAATGCAAGGATTATTATTATTATATTAGTGCCGTTGAACTCAACCAATTGTTTGTCATTTATGAAGGTTGAGTGTCCCACAGCAATCTGGAACATGCCAAATTTAAGTTCACCAGCACAAAGTCAGAATTATTTGCAGTGCAAGCCAGTTAAGCCTGACACATCGGGGATGGTGGTTTGGTCCGGCTTAAGAGGTGCTGAGGTTAACTGAAATACATGCTTCATGTTTTGTCTCAAATACATTGCTGATCAGTTTATCAAGATACCACGGACTGACTGCTGGTGGTCCTGAATGTACTGCAGCATCAACCAATGCTTGGAGACAGAAGGTTTGATTTCCACATAAAGAGAACTCGTGTTCTGTGTTCCATCTTCAGTAAACGTGAGACATGCCAACACAGGTCAAACACACAATGAGTAAGGAAAAAAATTAAAATCACAAAATTGCAGACATTTTGACAGACTGTGTCGGTTGATTTAACTGCTGCTCCAGTACATGTATTAAAACTAGCAATCATTGTACGGTGTTTGCTATGAGATATTGCAAGAAAGAGACTGACGGTTTGGAGTCTGTAGCAGAGTGTGCACAGTACAAGTGGGTGAATGCGAAGAGCTCCACCAACAATTCAACGACCAAATTGTACAAATTATATTTAAAAACTTCTCTAAACAAACTCAACTTAGTTTTGTTAAATTGTTTTTGACCCCCCAATCCACGGCTATATATTTATATTCTGTATATTTGAGCTTCTTTCAATGTATTTAACTCTTGGTGTAAAAGAGCACTCTCACCTCCAGATCAGACTGTTGTAACAGTCTCCACGGACAGCTCAGCACCCAATGAGTTAACGGTTCAGAAATTGTCTTTACAGTCAGAAATATTTGGGAACAAAGTACACGGATATTTTTTAAATCAAACAGCAATTCAAACAAGTCATCAATCAGGCACAGACACATATCCTCATTCGCCACAGGAGAGAACCAAACCAAAACAAGACAGATATCAAGAGCTACATCACATTCAACAGCAAAAAACAATGCATTAACGCAGAGGGTTCCGAAAACATAATCCATGAGTCAGAAAGGTGAGAAGGGAATCAATGGCAGGATCGTAACCAAACACTCTCCTATCCTGGCCATCTTTGTGTTTAATTTTCGCTAGAATTTGCTTGACTTGAAAAACATTTGTCACAAATTCATTTTTTGTAAATCTAGCAACAAGAAAAAGCAGAATTGAATCCCAACAAAATATCAGTTTCATTTGATGTTTATTGAAGTCATTTTCATTTAGCAGTGCTCCACTGAGCCAGGCTGCAAGCAAATCCACTCCAAAAATCTTCCACCAATGAAACTTTTATAAGTAAATGCTAGCAAAAGCCATAAGACATAGGAGCAGGATTAGGCCCCTCTAGCCTGCCCTGCCATTTAATAAGATTGTGGCTGATCTTCTAACCTAATTCCATTTCTATATGCAAATACAATTCAAATTTACATTAATACAGCACATTTCACGTCAGGAATGTATCCCAAGGCACTTGACAGTTCTGGCTGGCACCTGAGCTGGGGGTGGGAGCTGAGGGAGTGGGAAAAGTAAAGATGATCGAAGGCACAATTGGTGAGACAGACCTTAAAGAAGTGAAGGAGGGAGCGAGTCGAAGGGACTTCTGGATGGAGTTCCACAGAGTGGGGGCAAATGGGCTGAAAGCCAGGCAATGATGGTGGAGTGCGTAGGATGGAAGACATGAAGCAGGGCGGAGCAGAGGAGGATCAGGGCTGGTATGGTTTGAGGAGATTGCAAAAGTAGGGTGGGGTATCACTGTGGAGGGATATGAAAGTGAGGACGATGGTCTTGAAATCCTGCACTCAAATCCGTGGGGGTGGGGGGGGTGAACGGGGAGCCAATGCAGTAAGGACGATCAGGACGAGAGTGATAGGTTTGTGGAATTGAGCGAGGAAACAAAACTCAAAATGGCTAAAAGAGAGAGAAAGCAGACATAAGAATTAATCCATTGATCACAGATTGCTGACATTGGCTCTGTTTATGTAACAGAGATGTCTTGATTGATGACACTAATGCAGTCGCACACTGAAAACATGTCACTAGGATTCCAGGAAAGGAACCACTTGCTTGCCGGCCACATATACCTCTTCTATATTGCGGTCATCTCCTAAAAAAGAGAAGAAATACATTTTTTAGGGAATGTGGGGGAAGGGGAGTTGACATTCTAGAATTTAGCCATGGTTCAGTGCTCTCAGATACTCAAATAGCCTGCGTGAAGGGCATTATTGCAAAAATACAAATATTTTGTTTTACATGCGAATAGCTCAGAGCAACCCCCACCCCACACACACCTTTCACTGCTAATGTTTGTTCCTAAGGCTGGTGTGTAACAAACAACTGAGAAGCCTTTATGTGGAGGATCGCAGACACTAAAGCATATTACACATCACTTCACAGCACAGTGTGTCAGGAGTGACAATTCACTTCCTCATTTGGCTCATAATTTAGAAATGTAGAAGGATTGAAAAAAGGGGAAAAGATTTTACGAAAGTTAAAAAAAGATGCAAGACTCACCCAACAACAGAAACTTTTGGAAAATATCCTGAAAAATTAGAATAGAAGAGTCTCAGTGACTTTCAGAATCAACGCTACAATTATAAGAATGTGACTTAAAAGAGACCTCAGAAAAGCAGGCTTTCCAAATCATCACAATGTACAATTCCTGCTTTCTGAATTCCAGCCCAGAGTCCCTCTGAGTCGCACTCACCCTCCCTTCACTCAAGGTCTGCCTCAAGACATACCTTTGTTATGTGGATATTTCGCCTACAAAATATACAGTTACTGCACTTTACAATATTTTCTGTGAAGCTCTTTGAGACGTCTTAACGACGTGATAAGGAAGCTATATCCAGAGCTTGGGACATCCTCCCTACGTGAAAGGTGCTCTACAAATGTAATTTTGTATTGTAATTTTTGTATTGCATATGAGTGATTATTATGATTAGCTCTTTGACTGCGCATTTGGTTATCTTTCCCTTCCTCACCACTTCGGCTCCCACCTCCAGCTCAGGTGCCCAGCCAGAAGCTTTGATACCTTTAGCCATTCTCTTGTCGTGAAAGGCGCTTTGAGTAAATGTAAGTTGTGTTATACTGTATTGTATAATTACCTCATTGGTTTCCCCGGGAAACATTTCAAAAGCACTATTTGGAACATCGACGTTGATCAACAAAGCATCAAATTCCTTTCCCACTTCGAAATTTCCAATAAGTTTGTCAAGTCCCAAAGCTGCAGAAAGTTTAAAAAAAACTGAATGAATAGTTTTTATTTGAGGTTGGCTGGTCACTACAGAAGTCGTGTGCATTATGGATGTGCTGGGAGGTTTGGAATTCACAGATATAAATCACAGCCACCACAAATCGCTTCAGAGAAAGGAATTTCTCCCGGTGTCCTGGACAACGATACTCCAAGTATAATTGTTCATTCACACCGTGGCTGGTTGTGCACTGTGCACAAATTGGCTGCCATGTTCATCCACAAATTATACAGTCGCACCATGTTACAGTATATCCTGTGAAGCATTTTGAGAAGTCTTGGTGACGTGATGAAGCACTATATCAAAGACAAGGGTTCTTATTGTTATTAAAACTCCTACTAGGTCTATCAGGAGGAAAGGAATATGCTTTATCCACAGATCTTATTCATCATCATTAACAAACAAGTCTCAAAAGTTCAAATTCCAACACCACGGTTTTAAATTATGTGAGCAACAACAAATTAACAGGAAATAATTAGGTCAAACACAAGTAAAGGGAGAAATCAAGGCATTTTGGCAGGAAAATCATTTTACCATTATAAGTCTGAGTATATGGAGGACAAAATTAATGATTGCAATCCAAATAACTTGATGACTATAGGGATAAATTAAATCTGTGGTCGCAGATGCCTCTTAATATTTCTAAGTTACGGGCTGTTTGAGAGTCATCCAATGAGTTAGTCTGCTCTGTGGATCTCATGCAGCACATTCTGCTAAGCTCAATGCTATTCTGTTCTATCATGTTCATCGCCTGGATAACTCTAAATGCAATTTTGAAAGTAAAATTTTGTTTTGAATCTTTAAAGTCACGTTATTGCCATTTTAATAATGTGTTAGAGTTATCAATAATAGTAATTCTTCCATTTGATACAGCACCTTTCACATCAAGTGCAGTGACTATATTTTGCAGGCAAAACAAGGCAGCTAATTACGCACAAACAGCTGTGTGCAACATTTTGTGTATTTATAAGGTCACAAATGGGCAAAACTTACTCAAACGGAATAGAATTAACCCGCCAAAAAAAGGGGGCAACAATATTGGACCAATGGAGTATAATATCATCCCAGTAATAGGAAATTAATTCAAAGCAGTAAACTGTGCATGACATCATTATACGACTGGATTGTGCAAAATGATTAAATATGAAGTGAATGAACTTTATTAAATTCTTCCTACCTTGACTTCCTCCAAGAGTTGCAATTCTGAAAATCTCTTTGTAGGAAAGTTTTTCATAACCAGGTGATTGGACGCTCAGAATTTTGGTTGTGTCAATGGCTCTTCGAATAGCGTCAAGCATGGAAGCGGAGTAACCACCAGAGACATCTAGAAACAGTTTAAACCAGTGGTCATCACACATAGGCAAGAAGGGCTGTAAGACCGTGGGGCTAAGTTGATGATTTAACTGAAAACAATGCAATCAAATCAAAATGTCAAAGCAATAGCGTATAAAAAAGGTACAACCACTGCATGGTCACCTCGGCAACAGCAGCAACAACAACAAATTGTATTTATATAGTGCCTTGGTCGCTGGACAGAGCAGGATTTGCACCCCAACTAGGGGTGGGAGCCGAGGGGTGTGGGAAAGATGACCGAAGAAGCGGACAGAGGAAGGTCTTCTGATGGCCCTTGAAGGAGGCAAGAAAAGGGGCATGTCAGAGGGACTCTGGGATGGAGATGACTCCTTGATGTGGTGGACCTGCCATTTGTCACAGCTGAAGTCATGCAACTCTTGAGTGTTGAAGGTGTCAGCGGGGCTCAGATAATATCCTAAAGAAAAACATTATACTTTACAGGGAGTAATCCTGTGAATGCTCCAAGATGTGCTCCTGACGTGAAAGGCGCTGTATCAAATGCAGGATTATTGTTACTTTAACACTCTCTCCACTGGTTCAGAAGGTTGTGGACTCAACTCCTGTGTCAAGGGGCTTTGAGCTCACCATCCAGGCTGATACTGCAGGGCAGTGTGGAAAGCACATTATTATAAGGAACTGGAGAAAATCCTGCTTAGGCAACAAGAAAGAACTTACACTTTCAAAGCATCTCATAAAACAAAATGTCTCTGAGCACTTTACAGCAATTATTGTAAAGTTCTATGACTTTTTTTCATGCAAAGACTGCAGTCATTTTGCACATTGAGATCTCAGCACATTGAGTGTTGTGCTGAGCGACCAAATAGTCCTGAGGATCGTTGGGTGTGGCGACTCTGGGAGAAACTCCCTTCTCTTTTCATGTAGTTTCCTGGATTCATTACTGTCCCCCTGAGGCCAGGCAAACTGCACCTCGGTTTGACATCTCCTCTCATGTTAGGGAAGAACAGGAGAAAAAGGGCAGGGTTAATAGTCGAATAAAACACCCCCAACAGGCCCATACTGGAAAGCCTCATTCTCCCGATCTTTCAGATGTCTTGGAGAAACGCAAGGCGCTATATCAAATATAAGGATTATTATAACTATTATACAATTATTATTATCTACTCACCTGTTCCCAGGCCAACTTTTACTTGATGCTTCAAAACATTTCGCATATCGAGCAAACCACTGCAAAGTCTGAAAAGTTGTTAAAATAAAAAGACTAAATAATTTGTTAGCAAAACAGCAACATTGCTGTTTTGAACTGCACTTGAGTTGCACATTCACAGTTATATGGGTCATTTCTTACGGTGTAAAAACCTCACAGTGTGACAAGCCAGTCAGTACAAAGTTTGCGGGTATGAAATGCTGAAATTACGTCCTGTTCTTATTCCCACCTTCCTGTGCTAAGGTGAGAAGGAATTTCACATTTCAGACACAGTGCAGCCTCCGTATAATGTTTTGGATCCATAAAATCCCAAACAATATTAGTGAGTCCTGTAGCTTAGTGGTTAGAGAACTTGCCTTGCAGGCTAGAGAATGTGGATTCAATTTCCGGCAGAGCATGTTTCCTTACTCCACACACCTATTTACCTAGCAATAAGTAGGAACCCGGTTAATAGTCGATAGTTGGATCATTTTTCCGGGGGTAATAATTCCTTCAAAAGAAAAATAATAATAATAATTTGGTCACTCAATCCACAACTGTTTGTGGGACACTGCTGTGCGCAATTGGCTGCCGCGTTTCGTCCCACAAATCATACTGTCAATTCACAACACTCAATGTGCTGAGATCTCAATGTGCAAAATGACTGCAGTCTTTGGCTGAAAAAAAGTCATAGAACTTGACCATAATTGCTGTAAAGTGCTCAGAGACATTTTGTTTTATGAGATACTTTGAAAGTGTAAGTTCTTTCTGGTTGCCTAAGCAGGATTTTCTCCAGTTCCTTACATTAATGTGCTTTCTGTGAAGCGCTTTGAGACGTCTCAAAGATGTGATAATATCTATATCAAATGCAAGGATTATTATTTATTATTAGTGAGACGCATTAGTGGGTTTTATTGCAAATGTAGAACTAAGAAGGAAGTGATGTCCAGGGTGACTTAATGACCTTGAAATCAAGCATTTTAACAACAACTTGGATTTCTATAGCGCCCTTCACGTAGGGTAATGTCTTGGAGAGCTATACAGGACGGGGTTGGAACAAGGGAGAAGGAGGTGACTATAGGGGCAGTGAAAGTGGTAGGAAAGTAAATGGATGGCTGTAAATATGCAGTGAACAGCATCCACAGTGCGACTGGGTTCTAAGCAAATTTGTGCTAGAGTGAAGTGCGTTATATTGAGGCCGCACTATATAATGTTTATCAGCATTGTATTGTATTGTACATTGCATTGTATTGTAGCCACTGACACTCACGAGATGTTTGAATTTGGACAGTGCGAGATGGCAGCTCCTTCCCTATGGAAGACTTTCAGCTCCTCATCGGAGAGATACACTCCGTGCGCCATGACTGTCTGTAAAAACATAAAGATTGGACATAACAAGCTGGTAAGATCTGAGCATGTGTATACAGTATTGGACCATCATTCACAATGTTACATCTTAAGCTGGGGATTTAGGCATTTATTCCCCATTAAACAAATTTTCCCCCGTAATTAACAAGACCATCTTGTAATCACAGGAAGGGTATAAGATGGCTCGTGTGATGAAAGAAGCCACACAGCAATCTGGTCATCAGTCTGAAGATCTTATAACCTTGGAGAAGGATACTTTTGTGGAGTTCTGTCGCTCAGTGGTTAGAGCTCTCGCCTCACAAGCGAGAGACCTGGGTTCAATTCCAGGCAAGGCGAAACCTTGGGCAAGTTTCCTTATTCCACACACCTAATAATAATCCCTCAAGAAAAAAAAACAATAATAATTTGATCACTTCAATCCATGACTGCTTGTGGGACACTGCTGTGCACAATTGGCTGCTGCGTTTCGCCCACAAAAATGTAGTCAATTCACTTTACAGTATATTCTGTGAAGCACTTTGAGACATCTAGAAGACATGCAAAGCGCTATTTCATATTCAAGGATTATTATTATTATTATAACACCTGAAATACTTAATGATTGGTAACAATATATTTCACTAAGATTTTATAATTAACTGAGAATTCCCATCACAAGCAAGGGAATTCCCATTACAAGGCTGAAAATCAGAACCAAGATAGTTACAACTGAGGTTACGAAGCATTTCTTCACATAGGCGACAATGTGGAACATTCTGCCCCAGGATCTGTCGAAGCAGAATACAGATCTTTAAAAGAGAGCTAGACAGTTACTTCAATAGTTGAGATATTACAACAAAAGAAAGGGACATGGGGAGCATTAGAGCTGCCAAGATTTAATAAACTGGTGGAACAAGCTCAATGAACTGAATGGACTCCAACTGTTCCTGTTTTCTAATAACAATAATCCTTACATTTGATATAAAGCCTTATCACCTCGTTGAGATGTCTCAAAGAGCTTCACAGAATATTGTGTATTTCAAGCTCCTACACAGCATCCCAATCATAAACACAAGGAGATGGAATCAGTGTTATACCAGTGTGTGACTTCCATTTACCACACTCACCCGCCCTTGTGACCTCCCTCCCTACACCTTTCGAGACCGCAGCTGAAATGAGTCATTTAAATAAGAATTAAATTGAAACAACAAGAAATCTTTTTCAAAGGATAATCCAAGGAAGAAAAAAGTGTGTCTCACTGAGTACTGACCTTATCAGTCAGGAGATTGTGCTGGTAGTAAACATCGGTGTAATTTTCATACTTTTCAAACAGCCTTTTCGTAATTTCCAACTCTGGACGTGTCTCACTTATGTGGCTCTGTTTGACCAAGATAATGTTTATTCTGTATTTTAATGATGAGATTCTTTCTTAGTGTCCAACAATTTAATGTTTCAACGTATATATAGTAAAATAGTATGCAACATTCCCTTCAGACACCTAATTTTAAAGAAAATAATTAAAAGAAAAACATTTCTACAGTCATAAGAATCCTCACATTTAATGTAATCTTCCACATCAGGAGAATGTCTCCTAGCTCTTCACAAGATTTACTTTAAAGTGTAGCGACACTTTATTTTTGCAGGCAAACATGGCAACCAATTTGGTTTCTCTGCCAGCTCCCGCATAGTCTTGTGCCGTGTTCCTCAGGGTTCTGTCCTCGATCCCCTCCTCTTCAACCTGTACAGGCTCCCACTTGGTGACATCATCCGCAGACATGGGATCAACTTCCACATGTACGCAGATGACACCCAAATCTTTCTCTCTGCCTCCACCGTCGACCAGGACAACTGACGTCCTGACAGACTGAGGCCCTCCTGATTGGCTCGCTCAAGAGCCTCCGCACCTCAGGCACTGGCAGCATCAGCATTCACGATGCACACTCCACCTCACCAAGCCAGTCAGGAACCTGGGAGTCTTGTTTGACCCTCAACTGCCTTTTCTTCCCCATATCCATGCCATGATCCACTGCCTTCCACCACCTCCACAACATTGCCCGACTCTGCCACTCTCCTCAGGCTGCCAAAACCCTCACACATGCATTCGTCACCTCAAGGCTCGACTAAAGAAACTCCCTCCTTGTCAACTTCCCCAACTCTTCCCTCCACAAGCTGCAGATCATCCACAGCTCTACAGTTGGTGTCCTCTCCCGCACCAGGCTCCGTGACCCCATCACCCCCACCCTCACCCGGCTCCACGCTGATTCATAAGAAGCGCAATGGGAGGTTTTACTGCACACAGCCAGTCAAGTTGCTTCCAGCATGTGACCCGTTCCAGCTTCAAACTAAGCACAACGCAAAATAAGCAACAACAACAAACTGCTTTCATGTTGGGAGTACATCCCAAGGCACTGGACAGTTAATGATTTACACCCGAAGTGGGGGTTGGAAGATGACCGAAGGCACAGTCAAAGAGGAAAGTCTTGAGACGGGCCTTGAAGGAGGCAAGGGAGGGAGGCGGAGGGGTCCAGGGGGGAGTTCCAGAGGGTGGGGGCAAGAAAGCTGAAGGCCTGACCGCCGATGGTGGGAAGGGCACGGGACATGGAGCAGGCCAGTTTGGTAAAGTAAGCAGGAAAAAGCAGACAGTGCGGGAGAATTTGAAAGGGTTTTAGCGTACAGAATAAGTAGGTGACCGAAGTTTGCTCTGTCGTTAACATGTACCTGAATATGCAAGTTGTTGTGCTTCGCAAATAATCCCAACTGCTTCAATAATTCAGACGAGCAGGAAGCCGCAAAGCGAGGAGTCACAATGGGCTTCACCCTCGGGTACTGAAAATACAAAGCAATACCATTACAGCAAATGAGCAGATGTAACCTTACCTTTACAGTTATTAATAAATACTGGTACACTTGGGCTGAAATTCTAGTCAGTGTTACACCGAGGGCCTTTCACGTACCTGATTGGCTGTTTGTGGGACATTGCTGCGAGCAGCTTAGCTGCTGCATTCAATTACGAATACACAGTCGCTACACTTTAGAGTAAATCCTGTGAACTGCTTTGAGACACCTTCCTGATGTTAAAAACTCTATATCAAGTACAAGGATGATTGTTATTATAATGGGGGAAATCCCATTAGTAACTGGCATTACCAAAGGCACAATGCAAAACACCAACTAGAATTTCAGTCCATTGAACTTTAATGTATAAAACCCTCCAGCACACAATGCTTGTTGCTTGGCAAGGTAACCTTTATGGAAACGTAGTCGAAGACTGGCTATCACACTGGTGTAACACAAATGTCTTTTCACCTCTGAGCCTGGTTCCTTTGTTAGCTGTAAGGATGTGAAGTGAAATGGGTTTGGCTTATCAGCACAGAAAATCTGATCATCATATTGATTCATGGGGCAGAGGATTTGAATCGCAAAATGTAAAGTAAATCTACAGCAGCAAAACACCATGTGCATCATATTGACTTGAGGTCACTTTGGAGTCAGGAGCTCACCAATTGTGTAACACACAAGGGCCTCTCCAGAGAAGAGGTTTGTTTGCGTCACAAGTCGATTTTTCCTGGTGATGAATCACCTAAATCGTACATTTAGTCCCGTTCAAAAGTAAGTTTGATATAACTCATACGTTGCATAAGTTGTATTAAATGTATGGTCCCAACTGATATGAATTATGTGAGGTTTACTGTAGCATTTGTTAGCCACCCTCTCGCCCTTTGGCATGAATTCAATCTAAAGCAGATTAAGATTGGTGAGCCTGGTTGTAACTACTTTAAGTAGTTTGATCTCAGAGTGCTTGCTTTACCTTCCGCTTGGCCAGCTCTGTGACAAATCTGTGAATGACAACATCAGTTCAATGTCAGTTTCCTTATTACAGTGAGGACTGTCTCACAACAGGCATCTTTGTTCATCTGTTAACAATTGCAAAACATGTGAAACATTTCTGAAAAAAATCTTAAGAATATTGAATGTACCTTTCAAGACCCCTAAACCCCTTTCTCTCTCCCAATGGAATAAGTAGGATATTGAAGGTTTTTGCTCACTGAGTGGGATAAAATCAATATTACCACTTATTAATGAGTACTCTGATTACAAGTGGGGCACAAATTCTAATAACAGTGGATGGATGTTAAATCATTTTGCTCAACTCTGATCAGAGGCTTCTGGCCAAAGGCTCTGACTTCAGCAACCTCCCTGGTTGCCTGTTCTTGCAAAGCAAGTCAGTGATTAACCTTGGCATTTTGATTAACCCTTTGTTCTGTTTTAAAATTTAGTCCTTGGCCAAGACCAACTTCTTTTACCTCCAGAAAATTGTCCGCCTAAATCTCTTTCTCTCTCTCTTATCCCAATTCAGCTAAAGCCTTTGTTTGTGCTCTTTTCGCTGGCCTCCATAACCACATCCTCATACTAAACCTCAGAGCCCTCATTCTTTCCTGCACCAGGCTATGTACATCTATTACCCCACTCCCAATCCTTGTGCGATTCCACTGGCCCAGCAAATCAGCCAAGATTTTGCTACTAGTGGCTCAGCAAATCAGCCAAGATTCTCATCCTGACCTCCAAATCTTTTGTGAACTTGCCTCTCCCTGTTGGCTGCTCTTAATTTCCTCAAGCCTTATTCTCCCGCTCATGGCTTCCTTTCTTCTGACTCTGATCAACTGCGTGTTCCTCATTCCCTCCATCTCACCATGGGTGCCTTCAGCCAATATGTACTCGCTCTGTGCAATTCTCTCCCCAAATCACTTTGGTTTGCGCCTTTTCTCCTTCCCTTCAAATCCCTCTTAAAAGCATATCACGTTGATGAACAATGAAACTTAGTGTTCCTCTGTTCCTTCTATTCCTCCCTGCTCAGTGATCCCCATCACCTTTGTGAAGTGCTTGAGGTCATTCATTCATGGAAGGTGCTATGTAGAGTCAATGCTCTTGTTATGACAATTTCTACCAGATTACAGGCAGTTTTGTATTATCGAGCATTAAACTCTGGAAATTTAAATGAGATTGCCCGAAATGCATCACACGTGAAACCTTCAAGCAGGCGGATAACCAAGCCTTTCATCCCATTAGTTTGGACTGGATTCTGTTAACATCAGGCTCCAAAGTGAAAGGACAGCATGGAAATCCAGATAAGTCAGCAGTCCAAAGCGAATGAATTCCAAGTTTGTAAAAAGATTTTCTTTGAAGACGACTAGACACGATTTCTTTGTGTTTTTAATGACGACAACATTACGTAATTTACTCTCAATTCCAAGCAAACATCAACGATGGTTTCTATATAGCAAGCGATTAAGGAAACAAAAACATTGGACTCTGCCCACATTGGGTTCACACCCCCATGATTTATTTCTTACCTTTGGGTCTCCTCTAAAGAATGGCTCGTCTCTTCTTTATATTTGTGAAAAGTGTCATTAATGTCCATACAAACTTTGCCAACTAAAGCTCGCTGGCCGTAGTTATCTGAAAATTAAGAACAGCTGTTTATTCACTGCTCCATTGCCAAAGCCTACACTTTTATTGCGGCATCTCCCAGTAATTCCCAAAGTTTCCAATGGCCTGAAGGTAAATTTGAGGACATTTTTTTCGCTGACAGATGTAAAACATTAGTGAAACAACATTTATATATCAGCAGTTAAAGAAAATTCATGTTGTATATTTCAACAATTATATCATAAGTCTGTGAAGAATTAGATCCAATTCCTGGGGGAGGGGGTGTGGAGGGATTTAATTATTTACAGACATCACAGGATGAAGGGGAAAAGACAAACTCCCATTCCAACCGTGGCTATTCAATGCTGACAGCAGAGTGAAGCATATCAGTGTAGCAGCATATCATTGACATTGAATTGGGAGCTGTTGTGATCCAGGATGGGAGGTGTGAGTATCTGGACTATCTGTAAAAATGCTTTAAAATGTAAAGCCTGAAATTTCATCTCATCTTGCCTTTATGTGCAGGGGCGGACTGGCTATATCATAAAAGTAATCCTTGCCTTTGTTATTATGTCGTTGAGATAACTCAAAGCAATTCACAGAATATATTGTGAAGAATATATTGCGAAGACTGTGTGTTCTGTGGACGAAATGCAGCACCTAATTGCGCACAGCAATGTCCCACAAACAGTTGAGGGTTGAGTGACCGATTTTGTTTTGGGTGGGGGGTGTTTGGGGGGGAAGGGTTCCACGAATTGATAAGCAACCGGGTTCATATGTACTGCTAAGTAAACAGACGCGTGTATATTGAAGGAGTAACTCTTCCAATTCCTTCGCGGCCGTAATCAAAACGTTTCCAAAGAAGAGATCCGGCACACACCACAATGTAGCCTGACTGGTAATGCCCTAGTAACCGCATGACTGGTAATGGCCTGGTAACCACATGGCTGATAATGCCCTGGTAACCGCATGACTGGTAGTGCCCTGGTGTCTTAGCGCAGTGTTCTCTGTGATCTCCATTCAAATCCTAACCAGACTGGTGCCTCTGATGGCCCAATGGGCTGGCTGGTAAAGACCAGCCGCCCCAACCCACTGGGCATCATTAAACCACGTAGAAGCTGTCGGCAATCAATTAATTCAGGATGGTCCAACTTTTTGGCTGCTGAGGACTGGATGCCCTATTTGTGAAACACCCCGAGCTGCATAAGCAATATTTTTGTATTTCCCTTCCAGAAACATAACAAAACATTTACAGGTTATGGAGGGAGCAGGTGGGCCAAATGAAATGGAAGAAGAAATGGGGGGAGGGGGAGGCAGATGAACTCGGCCAGCGGGCCAGATAATGTTGGACCACCCTGAATTAATTTTTCACAGATCGGCCAACAGCCAGGAAGCCTCAATTGGCCTCACCTCCCCGGGTTAAGTGAAAATTAGCTAGGGTTCTAACCCCATTTTCCACTCCTGAAAATCACTATCCATGGACTCCATCTGAAGGGTGGGTGCTTGTGTGTGGATGTTGGATTAGGGCATTAACCTCCATCACCCTAGTCCTTGCCAGGCTCCGCCTCACTATAATAAGCAATAAGTTGAAAAGAGGGGAAGTTGAGGATTCTCTGCTGCGAAATATTTGGATATAATGATGATATTACAGAACTTGCAATGTGCCACTCCTGACTGATATTCAGAGATTGGTATTGGAAAGTGTGTCTGACTAGATTGGATTTTAAGTCAGGGTTGGATTAGACTCAACTACAATTTCACGCAGTCAGATGGGCTGCTGAGAATCACTAACATGTCCAGAACGCCTAAGGGTTACAGGAGTTCAAGGAGCTGTACGCCAGTGAGAGTCAGCACACTTGATTTAAGACAGCATTCTCTATTAGCTGTCCTTATATTTCTCTCCATTGTTCTCCAGATTAACACTTACAATCCAAAATTACAAAAATTACACTGTTGGGAGGACGTCCCAAGACGCTGATGACACTTATGAGGCAGACAATTGTGGATTCAAACCCTTCATCAAGACTCTGAGATCACAGTTTAGGTCGACACATCAATGCAGCGCTGGGGTGAGCACTGACTTGTCAGAGGTACCATCCTTCGGATGAGACATAAAACCGAGGCCCTGTCTGGCCTTTCAGGTGTATGATCCCATGGCAGTATCTGAAAAAGAGAGGTGTTTCTCCCACGGTACTGGCCAACAGCCCTGACATAAAATTGGACATTTACTTTATAGCTATTGGTGAAACATTTGGTGTGTGCAAACTAGCTGCCGTGTTTTTCTATAATTACAAAGACACTACACTATAGTAAATCCAGTGAAGTATTTCGAGACATATTGACGACTTGATTAAATGCGAAGGTTATTATTTACAATAAACATATTGCACTGTAATTAAAATAACTGATAATTGTGGGTTAAGCTTCTTACCTACAATGTCGCAAAGCTTCAAGGACGCATCTGTATGGATGGTTGCAAAATAGCATGCTGTGGTTGTTCCATTTTTCAGTGTTCTTTCCTGCCGAGCAATGAGCTTGTCAATTGCGAAATACAGTGGAGTCTCCGTAACTTGGTGTTTAATATCTATAACAAGGCAATTGTCAATCCTCTACCTTACTAAAGTGGGTATTCTTCACAACTAATATTGAGACCTGTAGTATATGGGTAGAGCACTTGCCACGCAAGCGAGAGGACACAAGTTTGATTCCTGGGCAGGGCAAAATGTTAGGCAAGTTTTCTTACTCCACTGTTTATCTAGCAGAAAAGTAGGAACCCAGTTATTATTCAATTGGTGTATTGCTTTCTGGGCATAATAATCCCTTCAAAAAAAAAATTTGGTTACTCAATCTGTGACTCTTTATGGAACTGCCATATTACACCCACAAAATATACAGTCAATAATATTTTCTAAAACATAGGTACCAACATGCACTTGTTAAATACATATTTGCTCTTGTTGCCAGGAGACCAAATAATACCTCACTCATTATAGGAAAAAAAACATGAGCTAACAATTCTTTACTTTCACCCTCCAAGAACAAGGTACACAAATTGATAATCCTCTTTGAACATTCGGTGCTTTTACAGTCATCTTGTTAAGAGTGGTAAGTTAATGATTCATGAGATTTTATTAAAACGGGGTCAATGTACGTGCTGGTTCAGGAAATCTTGGAAAGGTTGACAAACAAAATATATCTGTGTTATTTCAAATCACCAGTTTATCTCATAGTTATCTCAACCCTGTGACTGTAATATTAGAAGATGCACCATAGAACTGAGTGGTTTAATATAAAGTTTTGAAAGGCCAATTGACGTAGTAGTTTATTCTCTCATCATCCTGTGACTGTCCACTTTCTTGCTGATTTGTCACATGGCAGCATTCACCGTTGAGCTCTTTATTACAGCTTGTAGGCAGTAATCTTCTTCAACGTATCCCTCACCAAAGAAAAACACAATAGAGCCCGGAAAGAGAAAGGGTCATTTAGTCGATCAACAAAGCTCCTTTCACAGGAGATCAAAAATTGCCAATGATCCTACAACAACAAAATTACATTTGCAGAGCGCCTTTCACATCAGGAGGATGTCCCAAAGCTCCTAACTTTGATCGAACAGTTGTCACTGGCCCTGACGCCTCATTAGCAATCCTATTTTTGGAGTGCTGCTAATTTACACTCGGACTGAAGCAACACACTTCAATTTTTTTAAGGGATTATTACCTCCAGAAAGCAATACGCTAATTGAACAATAACGAGAGTTGTTGATTCACAGGAACTCTGGTAATGAGGAACTGAAACTGAAATAATACAGTATTAATATATTTATCATATGATTTTGAGTTTCATCCTTTCCTAGGTTGCCAAAATCACATGAGTGACAAGCAAGAAGCCCACATGTCCTGGAACAAAGTCATGAGTGGCCTAACGTTTTGCCCACAAAATACTAAGTCAATCCACTTTCTAATATACCCTGTGAAATGCTTTGAGATGTCTTAATAACGTGATAAGGCTCTATATCAAATGCTAGGATTATTATTATTATAAACAAATGCCTTTACTTATTTGGAGGCACATAGTGTTTGTTCCAAGCTTTGAAAACTTTTAACAATGATTGTAAAACAAAACAATGCAATTACATGATCTGCTTATTTACTTATGAAAAGCCCTTGGAAAGTTTTTAAATAAAAATGTAAATACATTTTTTAAATTGTTTTCCTTCCTTGCCCCACCTTTAGTGAGACAAATGCTCAGTCTTCCCAGTCTGAGCTGTAATGTATAATAATGACACCACATGAGGAAAGACGTATTAATTTACAAGAACCTCAATTAACATTACAGTAAAGAAGGCTCATGGTCTGTGCCCAGCTGGCTCTTTGAAAGAGTAATCTAGGTAAGTCCCATTAACCTGCTTTTTCCCCATACTCCTGACAACTAATTTGTTTTAGATATCTATCTGTGTGTATGTATGTATATATCTGCTTCTCTTACTGTCTGTTAGAGAGGCAGATATATACATTAATCCACACAGAGATCCAATGGCATGTCATAATACAGGAAAGTATTGGTGTTTGTGCATCATAACCGTTTACCCATAAAACACAAAGCGCACTTGACAGCATATTGTGGAGTTCTGTAGCTCAGTGGTTAGAGCACTCGCTTTGCAAGTGAGAGACCTGAGTTCAATTCCAGGCAGGGCGAAACCTTGGGCAAGTTTCCTTACTCCACACAGAGCCTAATAATAATCCCTCCAAAACCAAAAACAATATTAAATTGGTCATTTTCAATCTACGACTGTTTGTGGGACATTGCTGTGCGCAATTGGCTGCCGCGCTCGCCCACAAATATACAGTCAATTCACTTTACAGTGTGTTCTGTGAAACGTTTTGGGACGTCCTCCCGACGTGAAAAGCGCTGTATCAAATGCAAGGATTATATCAAATGCAAGGATTATATACTGCAAAGTGCTATGTGAGGTCCTCCTGACATGAAAGGTGCTATACCGAATGCAAGGATTATTATCATTATCACTTTATCATAAACGTCATTGTCCTGCATACCACTACTTTGGTGTAGATGTCCTCAGCGAACTTCAAGTCTTTGTATTTGGCTTCTACGGGGAAGGTATATTTGGTTAACCATGGAAGAAGCGTGAGGTCGAGGCCTGTGCCTATGTTGGAGTATTGGGATGCATGGATGTGAGTATCAACCAGTCCTGGAATAAAGAATTCCTTCCTGAACAGAAAAAAAAAGTTGCTTTAATAATGCAGAAGAAATGAAACTTGAAACTTATGGATTCTTGAAAATCGTCAAATTCAGTCATAATTTTGAAATCAGCTAACAAATTAAGACTGAAGAATTTTCCAAAATTTGAAGACACTGGTCCTAAAGGTAAGCGCATAGATTTTTGACCCTTGCGGACCTTTCTGAGTGATGGAAACTCTGCTGAATTCCTGTACGTGGGGAAGCATAGTGAAGCCCAGTCTGCTTGTTCAGGTGGATGTTAAAAATCCCATGGCACTACTCAAAAGGAGAAGGGAGTTTCCCTCTCCCGCCTGTCCAAGCCAACAATCCCCCAGATAAAATCGATCATTCACTTCATGGCTGTTTCTTGGACGGTGCTGTGTGCAAATTAGCTACAAAATACACTTTACAGTATAGAGTTATGAAGCACTTTGTGACATCCTCCAGACATGAAAGACGCTATACCAAATGTAGGGATCATAAATAGTGAAGAGGAGAGTAGAAGCATAAGTGGAAATTAACATCCAGAGAACTAAACCATGATAGTTCTTTGAGCCCTTGGAAAACAGCAAGGATAGCCATCTTCACTCACTTTTCTGGATCTGCCCCAAAGTCCATACCTACTGGGAAATGATTTCGGAGGAAATTGGGATTATTACTGGTCTTACTAATTACCCTGACCCTCTATACTGGGGTTAAAATCCAACAATCCCCAATGCACATTCTGGGGCTCCCCTTTGGCTCTTGCCAGCCCTTGCCTAATAGACTTCAAAATTAGGAAGCAAGATATATTCTTCCGAGGAAAGAGTGCTGATTCCATTCCAAACACAACAACAAAAACAAATTAAATTTGTAAAGTGCCTTTCATGTCGGGAGGATGTCCAAGGCATAGACAGACATAGTTACTGATCCGAACTGAGGGTCGGGGTTGGGGAGGGTGGAGGGCAGGGGGGGAAGCAGGGAGATCAAATGCACAGTCAAAGAGGAGGGTCTTGAGATGGGACTTGAAGGTGGCAAAGGAGGGTGGGGGCAGAGTGGCCAGAGGCCCGTCCACCAATAGTGGGCAAGCAAGGTGGGGACGTGAAGCAGGCTGGAGTCCTCTGAGCAGAGGGAGCGAGCAGGATGGTAGGGGGTTAGGAGGTCGCAGAGGTAGGGGGGAGCAAGAACGTGGAGGGCTTTGAAGGTGAGGACCAGGATCTTGAACTGTATCCTCTGTGTGATGGGAAGCCAGTGGAGTTGAGCAAGGATGGGGGTGATAGGGTCACGGAGCCTAGTGCAGGAGAGGACACTGCAGCCTGCGGAAGGAGGAGTTGGGGAGGCCGACAAGCAATGAGTTTGCATAGTTGAGCCTCGATGTAATGAAAGCAAGTAGGAGGGTTTCGGGGGCCTGCAGTGTGAGACAATGGCGGAGCAGGGTGACGCTGCGGAGGTGGGGGAAGACAGAGAGGGTCATGGCGCAGATGTGGGGTGGAAAGCATAGTTGAGGGTCAAACAAGACCCCAAGGTTGCGGACTGGCTCAGTAAGGTGGAGTGTGCAACCATGGATGGTGATGCTGTCAGTGCCTGAGGTGAGGAGGCACTGACGGGAGCCAATCAGGAGAGCCTCGGTCTTGTTGATGTTCAACTGAAGAAAGTTAGCTCAGGACAGCAGTGATCCTGGAGTCGAGGGTGGAGGCAGAGAGGTAGAGTTGGGTGTCATCCGCATGCATGTGGAAGTTGACCCCATGTTTGTGGATGATGTCACCAAGAGGGAGCATATAGATGTTGAAGAGGAGGGGACCAAGGACAGAGCCCTGAGGAACGTCGCACACGACTGTGCAGGGGCTAGAGGAGGAGCCATTTGAGGAGATGAAGTGTAGGCGGTGTGAGAGTACGATCTGAACCAGTCAAGGTCAGAGCCGTGGAGGTTGAGGTGAGAGGAGAGGTGGTGGATGAGGATAGAGCGGTGAAGGAGGACGAGGAGGCAGAGGGAGCCCTGATCGCAGATGGACAGAATGTCATTTGTCACTTTGACCAGGGCTGTTTCTGTGCTGTGGGTGGCACGGAAACCCAATTGGAGGGGTTCGAGAAGGGAATGGCGGGAGAGGAAGGAGCGAAGCTGGGAAGCAACAACTCATTCCAGGAGCTTGGAAAGAGAGGTTGGAGCTGCGGTGGTAGTTAGGGAGTAGAGAAGAGTCCAGGTAGGGTTTTTTAAGCATAGGAGTGATTACGGCGCTTTTTAATGGGGTGGGAATGGTACCAGAGGACAGGGAGACAGGAATTTCCTTTGTAGGTGTGACACACACAGAACTCTGGCCTGGTTTGAATAGTGTTACCATGGGGATGGGTCCGCATGTGTCAGACACCCGGCTGACCAAAACAATATATACTGCGGTCATTGGTTAAAATTACATTAATTTGGCTCATCTAGTAAAGCTTCTCTTGAGCTTGGCGATCATTATATGTTTCCTGACGTGAGCTGGACTTCCTCTCTTGTTTTGAGAAGTGTGAAGGATAATCCAATTGGGGTGGAATTCTCTTCCCTTAACCCAGGACCAAGCGTTCTGAGACGCTACCCTGCGCGAGGGGTGCTATATAAATGCAAGTTGTTGTTGTTGTCGACCAATTTATCTCTTTTACTATAGTATTGGGCCTGTGATTGGTGGATAGAATGCAAAGAGGAACACTGTGTTCAAGAGGAGCAAGAGGAACCAGGAAATGCCGTAGCAATGAGAGGACATACTCACATGGGCTGAAGCACTCTGATGTCCTTTTTGTTGAAATGCCATGTTTCAGATAACTTCTCTTCTTTATCACTAGCCTCAAAGAAAACAATCTGCAAGAAAACAACAAACTCAAAATAAGGGGAACTATTGCGTGAAACATCTTCTTATTTAAAGGTTACTGATTTTCTATGCTGGAATAATATAACGTGGGAACAAGAAACTCCCTCTCAATACTGCAGTTGTGGATGATATTGTAAGTGGCAGACAGACACTGTCTGGGTTTGTAGTCACTGCTCTGCACCCTCACTACCTCATGCTCTCAGCTACTCAAACCTTCCCAATTTACCACTTTCTCGGGCACTGTGGTCTTCTCCACAGCAGCTCCAACTGACCATGACCATGTCGCTGGGGGCAGGGAGTGATCCTACTCAGCTCCTGTCAACCCTGCAAGCCAACCCCTAATGGGTAGTGAGGACCTAGCTGGACAAGCAGCGGGAAAGCTTGGCAGACAGTAACCATGTGGCAATACTGGACAGCCTTTGTTATTTTCTTCCTTGAACCAGGCCCACTTGTCAGAGCACAGAGGCAGGTTAGGTTAGAGTTTTTATGTAGCCCAGGATCTGCATCCCCTCAGTAGAGTGCTAGGCCTCTTTGGAATGCTCTCATGGCGTTGTCGGTGCCCACATTAGCTGGTTATGGTACAGTATGATCATCTAGAATTGGAGCAATCAGTAGTCCACATGAGCAAAATACAAAGAGAAAACAAAGCAAATAAAAGATCCTAAACAAGGAATCTGCCGCTTATCTCTGCCTGGGAAGGTCCCATCTAGTGCTCTAGTGCAAAGTCGAGGCATTTTCCTGTTCCCTACTGATACAGTTCTAATCTCTTTGAGTTGATTAACCAGAGGCGTACATAAATGACCTTTATTTACTTACATCTCAAGGGCTCACACAACTTCCCAAACTAGCTTGGGGTATAAAATAGCTTTAGTTTCCTTTAGATCTGCTGGTCAATTGTTCCAAGCTATTGTTATCTGGTTATACATTATCCCATTGTGAGGAGATGGGAAGAGTTAAATGCAGGCTTGTACTTACACCTGCAAATACCTGCAGAGGGTGGGAAGGGTGTGTGGAAAGTCTCAAAGTCCTTCTTTATTTAGTAAAACCAGAACAATATTCTCAGTTGGATTATTTGGATCCTCTCAGCCGCAGATAAGCATTAAGTGGAATTATATTACATTCGTGGTGCAGTTATAGTCAATTACATAGTCAATCCACTACTGTTTGTGGAACATTGCTGTGCAAGGGCCGGTAACTGCCGGCTGGGCCGGAGGTCTCGTGGACCTTAAGTTGGGGTGGGTGTCGAGGGGATCAAGCGTTCTAGTTTGTGGTTCCAGTTTCTCTCTCAAGTTAAATTACTAGTTTCAATAGGGATGACTTGCTGATTTCTGACAAGTGGCCTATGACGAGGGTCAGGAATGATGTCTTATCTCAGTGACGTCTGCGCTCTGATGAGACCCCAAAAACTATCAACAGATAGTAAGTACACAGATCATGGCATGGAGAGCAACTGAATAACTTTTTGCAGTTGGATATTAAATATCCACTAGACCTAATCTGAATGAAAAAGAACTTGGATTTTTGTACCATCTGTAATGTCAAAACACTTTTCTGGATTTATTATCAAACGTAGCGACTGCTTTTTTTTTTGCAGGCAGATACTTTGTGCAAAAACAAAGCAAACAGCCATTGCTTGAATGACCACTGCAGGACAGGCCAACGGGAGAAACTCCGTTCTCTTTTTGAATAATGCCAGGGGTTCTTTATCGCCCACCTGAACAGACAGATGGGGTCTTAATAATAATAATCCTTGCATTTGATATAGCACTTTTCACGTCTTCTGGACGTCTCAAAGCACTTCACAGAATATACTGTAAAGTGAATTGACTATATATTTGTCGGCGAAATGCGGCAGCCAATTGCGCACAGCAGTGTCCCACAAACAGTCGTCAATTGAAGTGACCAATTTACAACTACAACAACAACAACTTCGATTTATATAGCGCCCTCCATGCTGGACTGTGTCTCAGAGCGCTTTACAATAACGGATCCCAGGGCCAAGCCAGGGGGAGGGGGAGGAAGGTGACCAAAGGCGCGGTCGAAAAGAAAGGTCTTCAGCAGGGAGATCTTTATTATTGTTTATTATTCATTTATTATTGTTTTATTTTTTTGAGGGACTATTATCAGGCGTGTGGTGTAAGGAAACTTGCCCAAGGTTTCACCCAGCAGGGAATCAAATCTAGGTCTCTCACTTGTAAAGCGAGTGCTCTAACCACTGAGCTACAGGACTCCACTTAGTTCAATGCATCATGCAAAGGATGGCACATGCATTGTACGATAGTGTCAGCCTGGACTGAGGGCAAGAACTGGCTTAGGACTTCAACCCACAACCTTCTGACCCAAAGGGGCAAGTGTTACCAACTGAGCTGAGCTGATATTTTCTATATGGCTACCGAATGCACCATACGTTAAACCTACTTGATCATTAAATTCATTAATCCTTCTTAACTTGAGGGAGGAAGGTCTTGCCCACACGACACATAAATAGGGTAAGCTCTGCTCTTCTTCGAATATTGCAACTTAATTATTATAATTATTTATTCAGGGAATTCACACTTTATCACAGCAATTGGGAAAAATAATTATAGGCACCAAAGTTATTTTCGGCAACTTTGGCAATATCTTATATACAATATTAGTCTAGAAACGATTAGGTGGAAAGAGCACGTCCGTAGACTCGTAGAGAATCAAACGTGCTTTGCTGTGAGAGGTTGTAATTTGTGGGTGAACGTTTCATGCACAATGCCAGACAGCTCATGTCTGCAGAAATAAATCCAGAAGAGAGAATGAGAGAGAAATTGAAGGGTTGTCACTGTATTGGAATTATTTGCCAGGGTTGAGCGGAGTTGTTTGGAGCATGAGTTGTTCAGAGTTGTTTAGATAAGCACATGCAGAGAAAGGGTATTAGAGTATTATTATTATTATTATGGAAGGGTATAATTATCTTCCCAACTCTTCCCTCCATAAAATGTAGATTATTCAAAACTCTGCAGCACCAAGCTCCATAAACCTATCACTCCCCTCCTTGCCCGGATTCCCTGACTCCCCATTCCCCAGAGGATAGAGTTCAAAATCCTCGTCCTCGCTTTCAAAGCTCTCCACGGCCTTGCGCCTCCCTACATCTTTGACCTGGTAGCCCGACCTGTGCGCTCCCTCTGCTCAGCGGACTCTGGTGTGCTCCACACAGAGAGAGTGCCGTGACGCATGCATGAAAGAGTGGAGAGAAAGAGAAGAGACACAGATAAAATTTTACTGAAGTGTTATAAGGCTTTGGGATTCCAGTTATAGTTTGTTATGATTTTCAATGCTTAATTTTGAAGCACTCGTCTTTGTACTGTATCTGTTATTTTACTCGTGCCTTTGGGTGTTTCATCTTCATTAAAAAAAGTTACAATTAGATTAAAAAGAAAACAAACGATCAACCAAAATCTGTCATCTGATTATAGCTCATTCACTAAACAGGCAGCTGATTTTTTTAATAGGGCTTTTCACTTCAAATAGCTCACAAATTATTATGTTTAAGTGTTTTAGCAGGCACATGTGACAGCCATTTGAATTAGCAAGGATTCAGTCAATTAATAATAATAATCCTTGCATTTGATATAGTGCCGTATCACATCGTTTAGGTGTCTCAAAGTGCCTCACATGATTTCCTGCGAAGTGGAATGACTGTGTATTTTGTGGGTGAAACTCAGCAGCCAGTTACTTACAGCAATGTCCAACAAACAGCCAGTGACCAATTTTATCTGGTGGATTGGTGGCCAGGACACCGGAAGAGAGAAACTCCCTTCTCTTTTTGAATTAATAGGATATTTAATGACCATTTGGTCAGGCAGATGGGCCCTCATTTTAACTTTGCGTTTGAAGAACGGGACCTCCAGACTCAGAGCCGAGAGCAAAGGTGTAGCTTGGCACTGAGTCGCAGAGAAAAGGGAAGTGACCGAGGCATGGGCAAAGAGGAAAGTCTTTGGGTGAGATCTGAAGACAGGAAACGATTGGAGCAAGGTGGAGGGATTGAGGCAGGAAGTTCCAGAAGTACAGGGGTTAGGGGTAGTGGCACCTCTGACAATGGTGAAGATGAGAGGTCAAGGGATTTGCAGAAAGCCTGAGCTGGACCAGCAAAGGGGGCAGGTAGTGGAGTGGAGTATGAGCAGGTTGGAAGGGTAGGCAGGTGAGGAGCTTGAAAGCAATCTGAACCAGACAAAACAGTGAAGACAATCCTCTCAATCAGGAGTTTACTGGGGTGGCTGTGCTGATTGAAATTAGTTTTGAAATTTAGCTCAAGGTGAGGGAACATCTTCCTTTTCCTACTTTTTCTATTTTATTTTTCAAATCCCTTCATGCCCTCGCACCTCTCTACCTATCCGATTTGCTTACATACCCACCCGCACCCACCCGCCACTTCAGCACTCGCTACCTCCGCTCGGCTGGCTCCAGCATCCTGTTTATCCCTCGTCCCTCTGCTTCACCATCGGTAGCCATGCCTTCAACCACTATGCCCCAAAACTCTGGAACTCTCTCCTTCAATCCCTCCGCCTTGCCCCCTCCCTCGCTTCTTTCAAATTCCGCCCAAAAGACCTTCCTTTTTGACTGTGCTTACAGTCACCTCCCCATTCCCTCTGTCTCGGGACTCTGCCATTGTGAAGTGCTCCGGGATGCTACCCTCGAGTGAAGGACGCTATATAAATGCAAGTTGTTGTTGTTTTAATCTCTGTCCAGAAATCCCCACTGACCACAAACCTTTCTATTTAGTGACACTGGAGTGGTTAATGAAAACTGGAAACTTCCTGGAAAGTGGTGGTTGTTCCCTTGTTGGCCCATCATGCAGGGTAATTTACGTTCGTAATGATATGACTGACAATCTCACTAGCTTAGTTCCTTCTACGATTGGAAATTTCACCAATAGTTACAAGGTGCCTTGTGCATTATTTAGCATGCCGTGATTGTGGCAACCGGGTAAGTACTGCATGTCAGCGGGAGGAATTGACAGTGCCCTTCAAAGCAGATACCAGAGAATTTATTGGGTAATAAATTCTTATTGGGAAATAAATTCTTATTGAAATAAATTCTTGTGAACTTATAATATGACAACAACTTGCATTTATATAGCACCCTTCACATAGGGCAGCGTCTCAGAGCGCTTGACAGGGGATACTCGCAGAATTGGGGGAACGTCTTGGGGTGGGGGTTTTGTCACCAGTGATTTTGCATAGTCAGGATTTCAAATCGCAGTGACTAGGAGACTGATTGTCTTTGTCTTGAGTTTCCTGGTGTGATACTGTAACATTACAAATAACACAATGTATATTTTACATGTTGCAGTTTTGTTCCAGCTTGCTCTTTCTATCTAAACCTCTCCTTAAGGATTCCAAATCCTTTCTATCTCCTACTCAGTGTGTGATACAGAGGACAAAAGTCACCCTGCAAAATGTGACCATTAGCATGTGTCGGCCTCGAGATTGACTGAGCCTTCAATTTAAAGATGGTTTTCCTGTAAGTTTTTGTAAGAAAAATGGCTTCAAAGTTATAATGTGGAATTCAATAATTTGCCAAATGTTGGATGTTCTGAAACACTACATAAATGAAGTAAATTTAGACTTGTGTGTGTGTCACTCTCTGTATCTGTGAGTGTCTATGAATGGGTCTCTCTCGTGTTTCTGAGTATAACACTCCCTCTATGTGTGTATATATGTGTGTGTATGTGTGTGTGTACGTATGTACGTACGTACGTATGTACGGCTCCCTCTCTCTCTCTGTGTGAGTGTGTCTTTTGGTGTGTGTATGAATCTGTCAAGGTAAATTAATAATCGCCACGTGCATGGGTGATGATAAAACAGTAAAGGGAAGCAATTGAACAAACAATTTTGATGGACTACCATCAAGCTTAATCTAGCACTGCGCATCTCATTCATCTAACCCTAGGGATCATCATTGTTGCTCCCCTCTACACTGTCTCTCGGCAGCCCCTTATGTCACAGTAACCAGAATTGTATGCAGTATCCAATGTATGGTTTGACCAGAGCACTCCGCAGCCTGAGCCTGACATCTGACCCTAACCCATCCTTTTTGCTTAGCATTAAAAATATATTTGTCATCCCAGGAGCCCATTCTTTAATGAATCATCAGATTGCAATTGAGCTCATCTAGAGAACCCCAAAGTTTCCATCCCACCACTACCTGCCTCACACCATTGGCACTGCGCTGACTTACTACCCTCATATCCTTTACAACTCGATACTTCAGAGGGCGGGAGCAGGTTAGAAAAAGCGTTTTCATGCTATAAAAGGGTATGAGAGGGAGACAAGTGATCAGGATTAGAATAGTTAACTACAGTGCAGCAGCAGCTAGCAGCAGTTTAGGCTAGATGGGATCAATGGCCCCCTCCTAAACAATGATTTCTATTATTTTTTTATATAGGTCCTGCCTGCCTTCCAGATGGATGTTAAAGATCCCAAGAGTCTAATTGAGAAGAGAAAGTGTGTTCCACCCGGTATCCTGGCCAACAATCCCCCAATTAAAATTAGTCCTTCACTTTCTGGCTGCTCTGTGCAAATTGTCTGCTGCATTCATCTACAATTACACTGTCACTACACTTTACAGAAACTTTATGAAGTACTTTGAGATTGGTGTTTTGACGCTATAGGCGCGATATCAAATGCAATTATTGTTACTATTGTCATCACTGCAGCCTGAGTATGACATCTGGGAATCTAAAGCTATGTCCTCTTGTTCTACTTACTTGAATAGACAGTAAAAGTATTGATCTTGGTTTCCTTTTTCAATCCCAATTAAAATTTTATAAACCTCGAATAGGTCCTCTCTGACTAAAGAGCCCTAACTTGTCTAATCGTTGCTCATGTCTCATTCCTCTTAACAGATTGCAACTGAGATCACTGTTCAAGATCCCCAGAGTTACCATCCCACCACTACCTGCCTCAAGCCATTGGCAGTGGGCTGAGCCTTCTACCCTCATATCATTTAATAATAATAATAATCCTTGCATTTGATATAGCACCTTATCATATCATCGAGACGTCTCAAAGCACTTCACAGAATATACAGTTAAATGAACTGACTGTATATTTTGTGGGGAAAACGCGGAAGCCAATTGTGCACAGCAGTCTCCCACAGACAGTCGTGGATTGAGTGAGCTAATTATTATTATTTATTTTAGTTTTTGAAAGGATTATTACCCCGGAAAGCAATCCGCCAATCTACTAAAGACAGAGTTCCTACTTACTGCTAAGTAAACAGAAAAGTGTGGAGTAAGGAAATTTGGCTAAGGTTTCGCTGCGCCTGGAAATCAAGCCCGGCTCATCTCGCTTGTAAAGCGAGTGCTTTAACCAATACTCTACAGGACTCCCATTTCCTTGGGCTTTGGAACAGTCCACAATATTATTTGTCTAATGTTAAATATAAGGGCATTTTCTCTATACCTAGGGTTACAAGCTGAAACCTCACTTTAATTCAGAAAAACTCAAACGGTGAGAGTATATTTTCAAGGTACTTAGAAAAGAGCAATTACAGTGAATAAACTTTATACTTAAAAGACATCACTGCATGACTCGGGTTCAGCCGTCGGTGTTCCTGGTATAAGGATTACTAGCGCAGTGGGGTAGGTTACTTGGGACATGGATCCAATTACCAGGCGATGGGCATGTTTGAAACCGAAACACATTGTGGCTGAAGGCACAGCCGCCGAGGATGGAGCGGAGGACTCGGAAGACGAAGAGGAGGCTAGACCCGGAGTATCAAAGGCAATGGGTGCTGGTTTTGAGGAGAGAGGTGGTCAGAGAGGTAGAGGGTTGCAGAGGTGTGTAGGGATTTGAATACAAGGGTGAGGATCTTGAAATCGACCCACCCACTCACTTACTCACCCACTCACTTACTCACCCACTCACTTACTCACCCACTCACTCACTCACCCATCCACTCACTCACTCACCCATCCACTCACTCACTCACTCACTCACCCATCCACTCACTCACTCACTCACTCACTCACCCATCCACTCACTCACTCACCCACCCACCCACCCACTCACTCACTCACTCACCCACCCACCCACCCACCCACTCACTCACTCACCCACCCACCCACTCACTCACTCACCCACCCACCCACCCCCCCACTCACTCACCCATCCACTCACCCACTCACCCACTCACCCATCCACTCACTCACTCACCCATCCACTCACTCACTCACTCACTCACTCACTCACCCATCCACTCACTCACTCACTCATCCATCCACTCACTCACTCACTCACCCATCCACTCACTCACTCACCCACCCACCCACCCACCCACCCACCCACCCACCCACTCACTCACTCACTCACTCACTCACTCACTCACTCACTCACTCACTCACTCACTCACTCACTCACTCACCCACCCACCCACCCACCCACCCACCCACCCACTCACTCACTCACTCACTCACCCACCCACCCACCCACTCACTCACTCACTCACTCACCCACCCACTCACTCACTCACCCACCCACCCACCCACTCACCCACCCACCCACCACCCACTCACTCACCCATCCACTCACCCACTCACCCATCCACTCACTCACTCACCCATCCACCCACTCACTCACTCACCCACCCACCCACCACTCACTCACTCACTCACTCACCCACCCACCCACTCACTCACTCACCCACCCATCCCCCCACTCACTCACCCATCCACTCACCCACTCACCCATCCACTCACTCACTCACCCATCCACTCACTCACTCACTCACTCACTCACTCACCCATCCACTCACTCACTCACTCACCCATCCACTCACTCACTCACTCACTCACCCATCCACTCACTCACTCACCCACCCACCCACTCACCCATCCACTCACTCACTCACCCATCCACTCACTCACTCACCCATCCACTCACTCACTCACCCATCCACTCACTCACTCACTCACTCACTCACCCATCCACTCACCCACTCACCCATCCACTCACTCACTCACCCATCCACTCACTCACTCACTCACTCACTCACCCATCCACTCACTCACTCACTCACCCATCCACTCACTCACTCACTCACTCACCCACCCACCCACCCACCCACTCACCCACCCACCTTGCCGTTCTTATCGACTCCCAGGATGTGATCGTTCAGGATTTGGACGGGAGAAACCTGAGTGGAATGCACGAAGGTTCCTCTGAACACTTGGAGGCTCCTCTCCTGCGAGCCCTGCTTGCTGGCCATGGTGGGCTGTGCTGGGCTGTGCTGGGCTCCCGGGTGTTGGGAGCTGGCACTGCGGAGCAGGTGGGAACAGACAGCGATCCAGAGGCGGCAGCAACAAGCTAGAAGTGGGCAGTCGCCAGGGACCTGCTGCTGTAACCAGTGCTCTGCCCTCCCCTTCCCGTCATCGCCAAAGGTTGTGGTGCGAAGATCCACCCAGGCTTTAGTGTGCAAGATAAGGGGACCATGTTTTGTAGGTCAAAGAGGAAATCACCATAATTCCTGATGCCCAGAGCAATGGAAAAGCCAGTTGGCTGTATTTCTCTGCTGAGTGTATCTGTTTCAGAATGCTATGGTCCTTTTGCTCAGTTGGTTACTGAAAGAGTGACACCTCAGAGTGTCGTGGGCATATTTGTTTTTGGGTATTTCCTATTGTTCATGAGTTACTTTCAGTTTTATATTTTTCGCTGCAGTTACACCTGGTGACTGCCCAGTCAAAGGGGCACTGTGGCATCGTGTGTTGCAGAGTGCACAGGTAACCAAGAGGAGGGACCAAAATAAAGAACACAGACAAAGCTAAGCCACCTCAACAACAAAATTACATTTGTAGAGCACGGAGTCCTCTCACTGAGTCCTCCCACAGGAGCATAGATAACAACAACAAAATTACATTTGTATAGCGCTTCTCATGTCGGGAGGATGTCCCAAGGCACTAGACAGTCAGAGTTACGGACCCAAACTGGGGGTCAGGGAGGGTGGAGGGGGGTGGGTGGGGGAAGCAGGGAGATCGAAAGCACGGTTGAAGAGGATGGTCTCGAGATGGGTCTTGAAGGAGGCAAGGGAGGAGGCGAGGCAGAGGGACTGCAGGATGGAGTTCCAGAGGGTGGGTGCAGAGTGGCCGAAGGCCCGCCCGCCAATAGTGGGGAGAGCGAGTCAGGGGAAGTGAAGCAGGCTGGAGCCCTCTGTGCGGCGGGAGCGAGTAGGATGGTAGGGGGTTAGGAAGTCGCAGAGGTAGGGGTGCGCAAGACTGTAGAGGGCTTTGAAGGTGAGGACCAGGATCGTGAACTGTATCCTCTGTGATGGGAAGCCAGTGGAGTCAGGCGAGGATGGAGGCGATAGGGTCGCAGAGCCTAGTGTGAGAGGACATGGGCTGCAGAGTTCCCGCCATGATCTGCAGCCTGTGGAGGGAGGAGTTGGGGAGGACGACAAGCAATGAGTTTGCATAGTTGAGCCTCGATGTAATGAAAGCATTACATGAGGGTCATGAGTATGAGGGCTTCGGCGCCCTGTTGTGTGAGACAGTGGCGGAGCAGGGTGACGTTGCGGAGGTGGGGGAAGGCAAAGCGGGTCATGGCATGGATAATAATAATAATAATAATAATCCTTGCATTTGATATAGCGCTTTTCACGTCGGGAGGACGTCCCAAAGCGCTTCACAGAATAGACTGTAAAGTGAATTGACTGTATATTTGTGGGCGAACGCGGCAGCAATTGCGCACAGCAATGTCCCACAAACAGTCGTAGATTGAAAATGACCAATTTATTATTGTTTTTTGTTTTGGAGGGATTATTATTAGGCGTGTGGAGTAAGGAAACTTGCCCAAGGTTTCGCCCTGCCTGGAATTGAACTCAGATCTCTCGCTTGCAAAGCGAGAGCTCTAACCACTGAGGATGTGGGGTAGACAGGATAGTTGAGGGTCAAACAAGACCCCAAGGTTGCGGACTGGCTCAGTGAGGTGGAGTGTGCAACCATGGATGGTGATGCTGTCAGCGCCTGAGGTGAGGAGGCGCTGACGGGAGCCAATCAGGAGAGCCTCGGTCTTGTTGATGTTCAACTGAAGAAAGTTAGCTCTCATCCAGGACTTGATGTCTGACGGACATTCTGTCAGGACCATGGCTAATATTATTTCAGTCCATATTGGATCCTTTGGTTGCAAGCGTAGCTGCAACAGGTACAGTAATAATAAATGTGAAAGATAAAACCACTTTGATGCACAGTTTGAGCCATGGACTTAAAGCCAAACAGCTGAGGGTTATCTTGCCAATTGAAGCAAAATAAATACATTATTCCTGATCTCAAGTAATGATAAATTTCAATGTGCTAACCTCAACTACTTAGTACAGATAGATGCCCACCGCGATAACAGAATTTGCTCTTGGGAGAACAGAGTGATCTAGCTAAAATGTACACAACTGTGGCACCTACTTGACCTGATCAGAAATCTTCAAACCTGGACTAAAGCTTGGAAGAAGGAAAGATGCAGAGTTCAGATGTAACTGCAGTATTTTACACAGTAAGTGGGGATATGTGAAATCCACTATTCCGGTCAATGGTGGAAGTGGATTGCGTCAACAAATTCCAATAGGAGCTTTAACAAAGAAATGGATTGATGGGGTATGAGTGATAAAATAATATAAGGAAATAGTTAAAATCATGAATGGTCAAATATTATAACTGCATCCAGTCTTTGGACTGTGAAGTGTGAACATAGGAACAGGAGAAGGCAATTCAACTCCTTGAGCTTGTTCTGCCATTCTATAAGATGATGGCTGATCTGCCTCTCAAATCCGATTACCCACCTTTGCCCCATATGCCTTGATACCCTGAAATCCAAGACCATTTCCAAACGTACCGCCTCCCACTGTGCGTCAGCAAACCGGATGCTGGGGTATTTTATAAAGCTATGATACTGAACTCATTTGAAAAGCAGCTTGACATGATGATGGGAGAATGGTATGATGGATATTCTGGAGGGATGAGATCAGATGGGCTGAAGAGCCTTCTTTGTTCAGACCAACCTTGTGATAAGGGAGAACCAGGCTTGATGTTCTTTTTCACATTCCATAAATATGTTATTTATAAAGTTCAGTAAATTAAAGCATAAAACTATTACAACTGAACAACAACAACAACAAGATTCCATTTATAAAGCGCCTTTCACGTCAGGAGGACGTCCCAAGGCGCTGCACAGTTGGGTCATGACCCGAGCAGGGGGGAAATGGTCAGGGTGAGGGGAGGGAAGGGAGGAGGGAGCAAGGAGGGGGGAAATGGTCAGGGTGAGGGGAGGGAAGGGAGGGAGCGAGGAGGGGGAAGAGAGTCGAGAGGGGAGCTGAAGGCACGGTCAAAGAGAAAGGTTTTGAGACCGGCCTTGAAGGAGGAAAGGGAGGAGGCAAGGCGAAGGCACTGGGGGATGGAGTTCCAGAGCCTGGGGGCTGAGAGGCTGAAGGCCCGACCACCGATGGTAGGGCGGTTGGGGCGGGGGATGTGGAGCAGACCAGAGCCAGAGGAACGGAGGGTACGGGCAGGTAGGTAGGGGGATAGTAGGTTGGAGAGGTAGGAGGGAGCAAGGCCGTGAATGGCCTTGTAGGTGAGGATGAGGATCTTGAAATCAATCCTCTGGGGGATGGGGAGCCAGTGGAGGCGAGCGAGGGTGGGAGTGATGTGGTCCCGAAGCCTGGTGCGGGACAGTACACGAGCTGCAGAGTTCTGAATGACCTGCAGCTTGTGGAGGGAGGTGGCGGGAAGGCCGGCGAGGAGAGAGTTCCCATAGTCCAGCCTTGAGGTGACAAAGGCGTGGACCAGGGTTTCAGCAGCGTGAGGGGTGAGGTAGTGCCGTAGTCTGGCGATGTTCCGGAGGTGATGGAAGGCGGTGCCAGTTGTGGTGCGGATGTGTGAACATTGCTGGTGATGCAATAATGCCATCACTTTTGCCATTTCTTAAAATTGGACAACTCTCCTTTAAAAACCTCGTCCCATGAGAATAATCAGAATTTACATAAATCACACAAGCATATTCAAGCTGGAGAAGAGAAGGTTGAGAGGGGATATGATTAGAGTCTTTTAAGATTCTAAAGGGACTAGATAATGTAAACCATGATAATCTGTTTTATTTTGGACTGAACAGTAGAACCAGAGGACAAGGCCTGCGATTGAAGGGGGTAAATTCGGAACAAATCTGCGGAAACGCTACGACAGTGAGCGAGTAGTAACCATAAGGAACTGGCTCCCTAGGGAGACAGTAGAAGCAGAAAGTGTTGATTCTTTCAAGAACAAATTAGATTGATTTCTGTTAGGAAATAATATCTCAGGATACAATATTTAGTTTGGGACATGACATGTCATGCGACTGCCAGGATGGTGGAAGGTGGACTGGATGGGCCTCAGTCTTCTTTCTCCTAGCAAGTTCTTATGTTCTTGTGTACACATTTCTTGAAATTGGACAATTCTACTTTAAATACCATTGCCTCGTGATAATAAATCAAATTCACTTAAATACGGTGCCGATTCCTTGCATTTACTGTGGTGTGATAAGAGTACAGTACAGTAAAACTTGCACATGTCTTACCTTTACAAATCGTTTAATCGCCCAAGTCGTACATTCACTCGAGTCCCATTCAGTTTCCGATCAAAACCACTTAGATTTCTTTGCACTACTTGCATTGATCACCTCCTAACTCGTATCACTACCTTCCATTATTCCTGCACTTACCAGCTGTATTAAATTGCGGGAAATGATGACCTGACCGCTTGACATGTGCATTTACCAACCGACTGTATTTAGCTTGCTTTAAGATATGTTTGATGTTCCAAAATAACACTAATTTTCACTAAATTTATCCTTTTCTTCATTTCATTATTCTCCCCCATTTTTTTGTTTTGTGTTTGGCACAAAAAAATAGACCCTGGGATTTTTGTTTTGTGGATTAAAAAAATTATTTTAATGAGCATTGCATTTTCATAAATAGGTCTGGGAATTGTGACAACTGATATGAATGTTAAAGGGGTCAGGAGTGTTGAAGGGTGCATGCGTACGAACACACACATACACACACGTTCAAGTCCTTTAAAATGCATTACAAGTCATTGCTGTTTTCACGTTCTCTTGCATTAAGCACTGCAACTCTGGAACATTAAATTCAGTTTGCCTCACAGAACATTCTCCAACTTTAGACATGTCCCGGCAATTCTGCATCAATTTCCATTTGCATTAGTTTGCACCAATAGTAATACAACACCAAGTTTATTCACTTGGTTTGTCTCCAGAAGTCGTCAGATGCAAGGCCGTGAAGTCAGGCAGTTCTTGCGTTTCGCTCACTTCAGTCTCATGCAGCACATCTTCCTGTAAAGCTGTGTCTGTTCGCTGTTTTGGTGCCACTAGTTTATCAGACTGGATTTCATCTTTCTCTTCAATGCCATCACTGTCAAACTCACACTCATCATCTTTCTCCTCCTGTGTGCTCCGTCCTTGTTGTTTTGTCCCTGGACTGGTTTCATCGTGTTCATTTTCTGTTATCGAAGTTGGACTGGAGGTGGGGGGGTGGGGGGTGAAAGGAAAGGAAGAATCATTAGATTACCTAATCCAGGTGTGATCTCCTTATTCTTTGCACTAAGGTTAGGTTCAAATTACAGGGGTGGCATTAGCAATGTCACACTGTCCTTGGTCAACCTCCTTTTCATCATTTACATGCTTCCTCTTGGTGACATCATCCGTAGACATAACATGGGGTCAACTTCCACATGTATGCAGATGACACTCAACTCTACCTCTCCGTCTCCACCCTCGACTCCAGAAGAATGTGTCCTCACAGACTGTCCGTCAGACATCAAGTCCGGGATAACAGCTAACTTTCTCCAGTTGAATATCAACAAGGCCGAGGCTCTTCTGCTTGCCTCCATACCTTGGGTGGTGACAGTATCAATCTTCATGGATGCACTCTACACCTCACAAATTTAATCCGGAACCTTGGCGTGCTTCATCCCCCACGTCTGTGCCATGACCCGCTCTGCTTTCCCCCACGTCTGCAACATTGCCCGGCTCTGACACTGTCTCTCACCGCAGGCTGCTGAGACCCTCATCCATGCATTCAACACGTCCAGGCTCGACTACGCAAACTCCCTGCTTGTAGACCTTCCCAACTCCTCCCTACACAGACTGCAGATCATCCAGATCTCTCCAGTACCAGATTCCGCGACCCTATCACCCCCATCTTTGCCTGGCTTCACTGGCTTCCCATCACTCGGAGGCTACAGTTCAAGATCCTGGTTCTCACCTTCAAAGCTCTCCAAGGCCTCGCTCCTCCCTACCTCTGTGACCTCCTACCCCCTACCAACCTATCCTCTCCCTCCACTCAGTGGGATCTGGCCTGCTTCAGGTCTCCCACCTTGACTGCCTCACCATTGGCGGACGGACCTTCAACCTCTCTGACCCCACCCTCTGGACTATCCTATAGTCCCTCCGCCTCGCCCCCTTCAAGATCCTCTTCTTCCACCGTGCCTTTGGTCACCCTCCTATCCCCCCCACCCTCCACCACTCCTGATCCCAACCACCAGCTCAGGTGCGGATCCTTACTGTCCAGCAACTTGGGACGTCCTCCTGATGTGAAAGGTGCTATACAAATGTAATTTGTTGTTGTTGTTAACTGTGAGCCAGGGGAGTGTTAGCAATATTACATTGTGGGCCAGGGGAGCGTGAGCAATATTACACTGTGGGCCAGGGGAGCATTAGCAACAACAACAAGTTGGATTTATATAGTGTCCTCCACGCCGGACGGTGTCTCAGAGCGCTTGTTCCACTATATAACCGGGGGAGTTCTAGCAATGGTACACCTAAATTAAAATGGGTTTGGAGTAGAGAGCTCCAGTGGGGGAGGTAGCACCAGCACAAACATAGAATAGTCATAGAATATTAGAGGACAGAAGGAGGCCATTTGGCCCATCGTGCTGGCTCTTTGGAAGAGCTACCCATTCATTCCCACTGACCCCCTCGTTCCCCATATGTAAATAGTATAATATAATATAAGAATGATTAGTATTGATCATGTAGTGAATAAATGAATTAAGTAGAATGAATTAAAGAAATAAAAACTGCCATGTGGCACACATACACACAAACACACACAGTCCTAGCAAAGAGGCACCGAGCTAGGAGGAGTACACTGGAATGCAACCCATGGCCAGGGAAGATAAGGATAGCTGGATCTAGAGAATGGATGGTAGGTCATCTGCGCTTACAAGGGTATGTGACCTACGGGCAGGAGAGATAGGAACCTGGGATAATTGGACCAGGAGAATGGATGGGATACAAACTAGCAATTAAAACTGAGAAAAAGCTTAGTGAACAGGTCACATGGACAAAGTTAGAAAGAAGAACTGAAACGTCAGGGACATGGAGTCAGGTGGTTTGGTCAGGCTTGATAAGATAGGAGGAATATGGTAGCTGGTACAAGGAGAAACAACTTGAAGATAGCGAAAGAATGCCTGGGGAAAGTGCAGAGAGCGGGAAAGAAGTAATGAAAAAAAGAGTTAGAACACAGATGGCTTGCGAAAAAGGGTATTAAAATCGATAGCCAAAACTAGTTTTTTTGCAGCCTCTGAGGAGAGGAAGGGGACGGACCTCTACAGAAAGGAAGAAGAATGCCTTTGAGGGAAAGAGGACAAGTCCAGCTCTCGCTGGAGTGGACCGCAAAGAGGACAAGTTTAGCCCTTGCTGGAGTGGACCACCCAGAGACATTTGCAGCTAGAAGCAAGCCAGAGACGTTTGCAGCCAGCAGCAAGCCAGAGACAGCGTTTAACTTTTGTGTCAGCCTTAGAACTTTGTCACGATTTCCTGCCTGCTTGGTAGTATCTCTCCTACTTACTAAGATACTCACCCAACATAGATACAAAACAGTTAGAGATTATTTAGGCACATTTCATATATCAGATTTTTTTAATATATGTTTAGAATTTTAGTATTGAGTGCATCTTATTAAGATAGTGCTTTAGTAATGTATCTTGTTAAGATAGTGCTTTCGTAGGCATTTAAGCGCGACGAGTAATAATAATGCTTCAGGTGTGATGCTTATGCTTGTGTGGTTTTATAATTGCTAATAAAACGTTTTAATAATATCCTTGGTGTGGTTTCTGATAAACGCTTGAACCAATTCCACTATATAACTGGGGGAGTGCGAGCAATGTTACACCTAAATTAAAATGGGATTGGAGTTCAGAGCTCCAGTGGGGGAGGTAGCACCAGCACAAACATAGAATAATGCCATAGAATATTAGAGGACAGAAGGAGGCCATTCGGCCCATTGTGCTGGCTCTTTAGAAGAGCTACCCATTCATTCACAAGGTTAAATCCCACGGGATTAATGGGAACATATTAGCATGGATTAAAGAGTGGCTAACGGGTAGAAAACAGAGAGTAGGGATAAACGGGTCATTCTCGAATTGGCAGGATGTGTCTAGTAGAGTGCCACAAGGATCAGTGCTTGGGCCTCAGCTATTTACAATTTACATCAATGAGGACATTGAATGTAACGTATCTAAATCTGCGGATGACACTAAACTAGGTGGGAGAGTAAGCTCTGAGGATGATGCAAAAAGATTGCAACGGGATATAGATAGGCTTGGGGAGTGGGCGAGTAGGTGGCAGACGGAATTTAATGTGGGGAAGTGTGATGTTATTCACCTAGGTAGAAAAAGTAGAAAAACAGATTATTTTCTAGAGGGGGAGAGATTAGATAGTGTTAGTGTGCAGAGGGATTTGGGTGTCCTTGTACACCAGTCTCAAAAAGTTAGTTTGCAGGTGCAGCAAGCAACTAAGAAGGCGAACGGCATGTTAGTGTTCATTGCAAAAGGTTTAGAGCAAAAGGGAAGTTTTGCTGCAACTGTATAGGGCCTTGGTGAGACCGCACCTAGAGTATTGTGTGCAGTTTTGGTCTCCTTATTTAAAAANGGACATGCTTGCCTTACTTGCAGCGTAGATTCATTAGGTTAGTTCCTGGGATGAGGGGACTGACCTATGAGGATAAGCTGAATAAACTAGGGCTGTATTCTCTAGAATACAGAAGAATTAGGGGAGATCTTACTGAAACATGTAAGATTCATAAAGGGCTGGATAAAGTAGACACTGAGGGTCTGTTTCCCCTCGTAGGAGAATCTGTAACCAGGGGTCACAGGCTTAAAATTAAGGGTCAGCCTTTTAGAACAGAGTTGAGGAAACATTTCTTCACTCAGAGGGTAGTGAATTTATGGAATTCACTACCCCAGAAGGCTGTAGATGCTCAGTCCTTGAACATCTTCAAGGCTGAGACTGATAGGTTTTTAAAAAACAGAGGGATTAGGACATATGGGGATAGGGCAGGTAATTAGAGTTAGCTCTGAAGATCAGCCATGACCTTATCGAATGGCGGAGCAGGCTCAAGGGGCTGAATGGCCTACTCCTGCTCCTAATTCTTACGTTCTTATGTCCTTATTTCCACTGACCCGCTCGTTCCCCATATCATTGTAATTTTTTCCTTTTCAAATATCAATCCAATTCCCTTTTGAAAGTTGTTATAGAATCTGTTTCCACCACCCTTTCAGGCAGCGCATTCCAGACCGTAACAACTATCTGTGCAAAAAAAAATGTCTCATCCCGCCTCTGGTTCTTTTGCCAATTATCTTATATCTATGTCCCATGATGTGAAAAGGACAGGTGGTCGGGATTAGAATGACTGGCTCCTATGGGGGAACTGTTTACAAGACACACACAATAAGCTGAATGGTGTCCTGTGTTTTCTAGAAAGAGTGGAAGAGAAGCCAAAGAGGAGCTCTGGAAACCCACAGAAAGTGGTGAGAGCTAATCTTGTGGTGGCACTACCAACACAGGCCAAATGTTAATCCATAACTCCACTGTGTATAAGGTGTTATTACAACCATGCTTTTCCTTCTTTGACAAAAACTAAGCATTGAGACTCCAAGGAACAGCACCAACACTGAATATCAACAGTACAACAACAAATCACGTCGGAGGATGTCCAAAGTCATTGAACAGTCAACGCTTTGGACCCGAGCTGGTGGTTGGGATCGGGAGTGCTAGAGGGCAGGGAGGATAGGGGTAGGAGGGCGACCGAATGTGTGGTCGAAGAGGAGGATCTGGATTCATAGATTGATAGAATGTTTCGGCACAGAAGGAGGCCATTCAGCCCATCGAGTCTGTGCCGGCTCTTTGACAGAGCAAGTCACTTTCACTAACCCCAATCACCAGCTTTCTCCCCATAACCCTGCAAACCCGTCTTCCCCAGATACCTATCCAGTTCTTTCTTAAAAGCTGTTATCGAATCGAACTTCACTGCCCTTTCGGGCAGATCATTCCAAATTCCAACAACTCGCTGAGTGAAAAAAATTTCTTTTAACCTCCCCTCTGCTTCTTTTGGTAGATATCTTAAGACTGTGACCATGGGTCACAGACACACCTACCAGCGGAAACAGCTTTTCCTTATCGAGCCTGTCGAAACCTTTCATGATCTTGAAGACCTCTATCAGGTCCCGCATACCC